TGTTCTTATATACACATTCTTACACATTAGTACCACTCACAGGGTTTTGTAAAACAACCAATAAATGGACAATACACTCAGACACTCCCACACAAAATCCTCCCCTCTGCCTGTGATACAATTACCTTACACAATGGGTTAATGTAATTATCATAGGCAGAGAAATACAGTTTTTCCACATTATTCATAACTTTAAAAGTATACATCACATTCACATAAAACTTACATTTTCAGAATCAGCATACTCAAAATACCTATGTCAAAATCATCCAAATTGATCCATTGGTTCAAAAGATAGATCAAAGTCCTTTGTGACCTTTGTGACCAAATGAAGCATGGCTTTTCTGCCCAAAACCAGTTCCACAGAGTCTTCTATCCTGGAGATAATTGGGAAGTAATCCAATTATCTCCAGGGCAGAGGCAAAACTCCATTGAACACATGGTAGCAAAAGACAATAAAATACATAAAAATACACAAGGTTACATTTATTACATAAAATACAGACATGCAACATATCCCCAGATAGCATAGGTCTGAGCGCACATTATTACTGAATGGCGCTCAGACCACACACATACAGTTCAATTGCCATGGAGCCAAAGTCTTTTATTACACGAATAGGCTCCATGGCATAGCTATCTGGGTTAAATGAGTTCATTCAGTAAATCCGAGAATCTACCGAACGCCAGGGCAGTAATACATGAATAGACCTTTCTGCATAGGAAAATAAAGTATTTAAATGCCGGTCCATAGTCAAAAGGCAGCAGGCAGGCAACCAGGCTCCTCCAATGCTTAGTGGCGAGATTGGTCTCGTCACAGTCCCATTTATTGTTAAATATTACTCTTTATGATATTGTAAAGCGCTGCAGAATAGGCTGGCACTATATAAAGACAATAATAATAATAACCCTGAAAGAAACTGCAAACATCCAGAAAAAACAGTACACCATATTCCTGCTAAACAGAGTCCCTTCAAATTAATAAGTCTACAGGTGCTTTACAGTGCCCCCAGGACATACAACAGCAAAACATTTCTAACAAAACCCTTTCTAAACAAAGAAGTAAACTAATATACTGGAAATAAAATATTAATTTGCGCTTAACCTTTAAAGGACATTAGAGTGTTCTATGCCGGTCTGCACAAAGTGGGCTTAAATTAGGGTTGGCATATCCACCATGTTTTCTGAGACACATAATTTCATCATGTTGATTGGCAGCACATGAGAATGCTGCCCCTGTATTAAGAATAATGTATGTGCTGCAGGATTCCTGATTGATTTATCACCTGATTTACTACCTGCGGCATTTGTTTTCTACATACTGCAGGGCAGCACTTTCTGTATGTTGCCCATCAATTTGTATAAATGTAATATATATCTCCGAAAACCTGGTGGATATGGTAGCCTTAGCTAAAATGCTTACAGGGTGACATAGAACGCCCTGCAGATATGGTATGAGCACTGAGCAGGGTTAAATCCCTGCTAACACCAGGGAGCCCCATGTGTCAATTGACACCCGGGGCTCCCCTCTGTCTGCAGGGGCAACTTTTAGTGACCTCAGACTTTTAGGTGAGATGCTTACTGCATGAAATTCAGTACTGCAAGTGTCTCTTTAAATTGACATTTAAATGCTTATTTTAAGATTGTTGTGTGAGCTGGATTATATCCCTGCTCAAACCACACCACATTCTCCAGGTAGTCAGATGGCGCCATTTTGAGTGGCCATAGACTGAAAGTCAGGACTGCACAGAGCCCTTTAAACTCTTTCATAAAGCCGAGGATGAGTGATCACGCTCAGCCACAGGGTTTTCTGGACTGCAAGCTGCTCAGGAGAGACCATCCAGGGTCTCCAAGCTTGTCCCCAGCCAATGGTGACCAGTGCTGGGCTTTGCCAGCTGTCCAGCACTAAGTGTAATTCTGAAAATGGCCAGTAGATGGTGGCAACATGCCACCATCTACTGTGTTAAAAAGTAAAACCCATTTCTAATATCAGAATTAATATTAGAAGTGGGTTGCCTTAGGGTTAGAGTTGGGGTTAGCTTTCAAGTTAGATTTAGTGGTAAGTGTAAGGTAGGGTTAGCTGTAGAGTTAGGGTTAGTTTTTCAGGTTGGGTAATGCTGGCCATTTTGTTAAAAACATGTTTGGTAGCCAGCCCCCCATTGCCCCTCTTATATAGGGTTAAAACTTACCTTTATTTCAGTTCTGCGCAGAACCGCTGGCGCTGGCCCCATCATGCCTTCTTAGCTGAGATCATCAGAATTGCCTATTTCAGCCAATCCAACGCTTCCCATAGGAAAGCATTGAGAGGCTAATGTAAAACACTGTGCTGGCCAATCAGCATCTCCTTATAGAGATGCATTGAATCAGTGCATCACTATGGGGACAGTTCAACACCTCCATGCAGAGCGTGGAGATGCTGAACGTCAGGCAGCAGTGTTTACATGAAAATGAATGCATGGACAGGCTAGAGACACCAGAACATCTACATTAAAGGGACACTCCGGGCACCCAGAAATAGGCGTGCGCAGCCTATTGCATTAGGGTGTGCACCCTAAAGCACAAACACACGCCGCGTGTATATGTATGTGTGTATATATATATATACACATACACACATATATAAATATATATACACACACACATACATACACTGCTGTGTGTGTGTGTGCTGCGTGAGGGTGGTTTGAGGGTGTTGTGTGTGTAAGGGTGCTGTGTGTGTGTAAGGGTGCTGTGTGTGAGGGTGCTGTTAGTGTGATGTGTGTGTGTGAGGGTGCTGTTTGTGTGCTGTGTGTGTGAGGGTGTTTGTGTGTGTGTGTGTGTGTGTATTTGTTAGGGTCCTGTTAGTGTGCTGTGTGTGTGAGGGTGCTGTGTGTGTATTTGTGAGGGTGCTGTTTCTGTGCTGTGTGTGAGAGGGTGCTGTGTGTTTGAGGGTTCTGTATGTGTGTGGGTGCTGTATGTGTGTGGGTGTGTGTGGGTGCTGTGTGTGTGTGGGTGCTGTATGTGTGTGTGCTGTGTGTGTGTGTGCTGCTGTGTGTGTGCTGTATGTGTGTGTGTGCTGTGTGTGTGTGTGCTGTGTCTGTGTCTATGTGTGTGCTGTGTATGTGCTGTGTGTGTGTGCTGTATGTGTGTGAGGGTGCTGTATGTGTGTGTGTGCTGAGTGTGTGGGTGCAGTATGTGCTATATGTGTGTGAGGGTGCTGTGTGTGTGTGTGCTGTATGTGTGTGTGTGCTGTGTGTGTGTGTGCTGTATGTGTGTGCTGTGTGTGTGCTGTGTGTGTGCTGTGTGTCTGTGTGTATGTGTGTCCTGTATGTGTGTGGGTGATTGTAGGGGGTGGAGGTGGGGGCACATTACTTAATATCCCCCCTCCCTTCTTACCTTATGTAGCGAGGGGGGATTCTTGTTCCTGCTGCTTTCCATGGTGGTCCAGTGGGGCTAGAGTTCACTCTCGCGGCAACGCTCAGATCTCGCAAGAGGAACCCGGCAGAGCTGCTGGTTGAGCTCCCCGGGTCCTCTCCTGCCTCCCTTCATGCTGCAGTGGGGAGGGAGGCTGAGAGCAGAGCGCACCGGCTCTGCATGGACCGACAGGGGAGATCCTGAGATCTCCCCTGCCGGTCTCACTCCATAGGCGTGCCGCAGGAATTAGGGTGTGCCCAGGCACACCCGGCACACCCCGTGCACACGCCTATGCACCCAGACCACTTCTGCCCATTGGAGTGGTCTGGGTGCCAACTCCCACTACCCTTAACCCTGCAAGTGTAATTATTGCAGTTTTCATAAGCTACGATATTTACCTTGAAGAGTTAAGTCCTCCTCTAGTGTCTGTCTACTAGACAGCCACTAGTGGACACATCTGTGTTCATAGAGCACAAAAAGTGTGTTATAACGTCGCTGGACGTCCTCACGCTATGTGAGGACCTCCAGTGTCACTGAAATCCCCATAGGAAAGCATTGAAAGCATTATTGAATGCTTTCCTATGGGGAGGTCTAATGCACATGCGCGGCATTGCCGGGCATGCTCAATAGGTCTCCCCCGCGGGATGACGTCGGCGGGGGAATAGCGTGGGGGGACCCTGACCCAGCACCGGGGACATCGGCGCTGGATATAGGTAAGTCACTGAAGGGGTTTTAATCCCTTCAGCAACATGGGATGGGGGTTGGGAGGGAGAGGGGACCTGTAGTGCCAGGAAACAGTTTGTTTTCCTGGCACTGAAGAGTCCCTTTAAGCTGTAGTTGTTCTGGTGACTATGGTGTCCCTTTAACCAAACTTCTGGAATAAAAGGAAATCATGACATGTCACACATGTCATGTGTCCTTAAGGGGTTAAAGAAAGTGTTGGGTTGCATTATAGGGGAAGATTAGGGTAGACACACAGTTAGAGTTAGTGTAAGCGTTGAGTAATGCTGGTTTAGCATTAGTGTGGGGGTTGGTATAGGCTTACCGTTAACTATTAAAAATTAATTTAGATTCTAGACATATCGGGCATTTAACACCCAGGACTGATAGATGATTCTATTTTGAGTTCTTTTTAATTAGTTGCACTGGAGGTGTAAAAAAATATTATAATCAAAATTCGGAATTATTTTTTTTTCTTCAAATTTTCCCCAATTTTATTCACATGTAATGCTGTCTGGAACATATATATATGTATGACGTTAAACGAAAGCCCTTTCTGCCCTTTAAAAAATATATATATAATATCTATGGGGGCACTTAAAGAGAAACCTTTTAATTGTGATGTAGCAACCCAATAGCTCAAATTCTAGGTTTGTTTTGGTACAGAATGTGGACAATTACATCCGTCCACACAGCGATTTTTGGATCTCAGGTTCAGTATTTATTTGCCCAAACTGAAGAAGGCCCATTCTTTCGTATTTCCAAGACCACCCTCCCCAGAACTAAACTGGTGCCCTTTTAATTGCCCACATCCAAAATGGCGTACTGCGCTTCCAGGAGCACCGGGCGGAAGCAGTCATCCTCTGGGCGGGGCTATCTTTACATGGGGGTGGTGTAGTGCATTGAACAACCGGAAGCGGCTGTATTCTGTCTCATTCAGTCGGCAGCTTCGTGGCAGCCCCTGGGATCATCATCATCAGTGGAGGAAATAGAATGGCGCTGACCCTTACCTTCTCCAATGGCAGCCCCCCACTGGGTAATGGCAGCTTAGCCCCCCCAGCCAGGCTGGGTCTCTTCCCAATGCCCAGGCCTCCCTTTACACACTGAATGCTCACAATAGTTCTTGGGACAATCACATGTGACAGCTCTGCATGCCTGAAGCCATGCTTCTTTGTGGCAAATTGTCTTGTTTTGGGAAATTTTTGTTTTCTACAACTCTATCTATTTATTTATTTTTAAAGGGTCTGCATAACTTGTGATATAACATGATTTCTCCCATCCCTGGTTCTCCCTGATTATACCCAGTTAGATTGGGATTTGCAGTGGGTTGCATCATACTGCCCTGTACAGAATTAACATACTCTGCCCTTTTTGTAATATATTTATTTCTTTTGACCCATGGTAATGTTTATAAATCATGGCTAATGATCAATGCAATGATCTGAGAGTAATGTGTATGCCATTAAATGCACTGGTAAGGAAATGTAAATTGGGCTAATACTCTGCCTGCCTCAGTCCATGATATTTAGATAATGTGATGCTTGTAAAGGGATTTGCTCAAGGTCAGAAGTTAGTATCAAATTTTAAAATTACAGTTATTGTATGTCTTATCAGATGGACTATTGTACACCCCTGTTAAACACAATGTCCTCTAGTTTAGGAAGCATCATTAGCTATATATACCATATGCTTAATATGTTAGGGTAATCCAGTTTTAGTTCTATAAAATACTGGTTGTGTTGTGATCCTTCATATGTCTGATCTTTTGTCCTTTTTATGTGCCCATCCTGTCTTGCTTGTCTGTTCTAAAAAGAACAGCATTCTTCTGACAAGTGCTTTGTGAATTGTGCAATTGTAATACAGACCAGGTGTATTTAAAGGTTCTGCAGTTTTTAAAGAAAGGGAATTAATAATGGATACATTGTGAAATATGATGCTGCAAATACAGCTGTCAGATACTCTCTTGTTTTTTTTTTTTTTTGTAACCTCTCAACAAAGTAGCATTACTTATCTGGGTTTGACCACAGTCACTGTGTGGGAACTTTGCCAAATACGCAAAGCTGGTCCGATGGTGACATCACTGCTGGGGGTCCAGCTGCAGAAAGGGTCATGTAAAGGTGATGTTTACTTATCTGAACCATTCCCTTGCAACCACGGCCATCTTGTCCGGCAGATCCTTTTCATTATCTGCAAGAGTACAGCATTGATGGTGATGATGGCACTGTTGATGGATGTCGCGATTGACACTGTAGCTCCGCCCAGAGCCTAGGAACGTTAGGTGGAGGAAATATACAGAGACAAAACAGTGACTACTTTTATTTCTGTGAAATTCCAACACAGCAAAATGAGTGTTTCATATAGTTTATTTCTTTATGAAATACTCATTTAATGGTGGGGAGGAGAGGAGTGACAGTGCTGCTCTAAATAGCAGCATTAAAGGACCACTATAGTGCCAGGAAAACATACTTGTTTTCCTGTCACTATAGTGCCCTGAGGGTGCCCCCCACCCTCAGGGACCTCCTCCCGCCGGGCTCTGGGGAGAGGAAGGGGTTAAACTTACCTCTTTCTCCAGCGCCGGGCGGGGAGCTCTCCTCCTCTCCTCCCCCTCTTCGTCTGAATGTGCATGCGCGGCAGGAGCCGACACGTGCATTCAGCCAGTCCATAGGAAAGCATTCACAATGCTTTCCTATGGACACTGGCGTCTTCTCACTGTGAAAATCACAGTGAGAAGCACGCAAGCGCCTCTAGCGGCTGTCAATGAGACAGTCCCTAGAGGCTGGATTAACCCATTTATAAACATTGCAGTTTCTCTGAATATATATATATATATATATATATATATATATATATATATATATATATATATATATATATAACCCTAGCTGGACCTGGCACCCAGACCACTTCATTAAGCTGAAGTGGTCTGGGTGCCTATAGTGGTCCTTTAAGACGGCATGTTTCTAAGTGATACATGATGCTACCCAAGGCCAGAGTTCACTGACCTTTGTATCACTGGTTCTACTGGTAAACTGCAATAAGTTGTGTGAAATTTCTACTAGCCTACCATTATTTGCTTGTATATTATGGTTTGCTGCTTTGCAAGAATTGAATTACGTTAACTACGCATTCAAAAGTAAAAGCACATTAGAACATAGAATAAAGAGTAAATATTAGCAAGGTGGATATAAAGATCCTTTTTTTTTTTCTTCAAATCGAGGCCATCTCCAGCTGTTTTTGGCTTAGTTGCAGTAATCTATGCTCTGTGTGCTAGGAGTGTAGTGTCTGTAATATTTTGTGAGCTCGTAACTTTTAGTGTCACCAGTGAATTATTGTCCTGAGAATCTTATGATTGGTGTTGGTGTGTTAGTGGCAGGCAGCACTATTTTATACAGTGTACAGCTAGTATAAAACAAGCTAAATGAATCCTGATGTTCAGAGGATGAATTCATTGTTACTGTGTCTGTAATAAAGTAACAACCACTGGCAGATAATAAGATGTCTGCTGATGGCATGGTAATGTGGTCTACACGTCACTACTACCAGTGTTATGGTTGCCATAGAACCATCATGTAGTGATGGCTGATAATTCACCAAGAGCCTTAGTGATCACCAATATGACAATCATCACATGTCCTGCATTCCACACTAGCTCTGTGACTACGATTGCATCATGTTATTCAATGCACCATGTGTCCTGTCACACTGGATATGTTGATGTCATTGCAAAGGACTTGCAACAGGCTTGCAACAGACTGGCAATAGAGTAACCATTAACTCTGCCCCTATATATTTACAATCAAAGTAAAAAGATATCACTCAGAGTTCCATCTCACAAAGACATTCTAATCCTTCCCTGGGCTTTTACGGTAAATATGTACATAGACTGATTAGTTTGGTTTACTGATGTAACCATTTTACACTGAGTATTTCTAACCTGTTATATGTTGAAAACAATTGTTTTGTTTGATGATCTAAAAGATAAGCATGGTTATTTGCCAAATTCTAATTTTCACTAAATCCAAATGGCAAAGCTGAGGCTAAGCTAATAAAGTTGTGGCTACAGCTGAATTGGAGATTTTTCCATATCAACAATTTTTGCACTGGTTTGTTCATTAAGGTTTAGCAAATAACCCTGTAAGAGCCTTACAAGATCTAGGCAACCGTTATTATTGTGCTTACCGAGTGCCACAACTCCCATCATGCAAGCGTTTAGAACTGGAAATCGTATATAATCTTTTCTTGTGTATGCACCTGGTGTGTAATTAGAGTTTCAAAAAAAAAAAAAAAGGCAGAACTTTGTGGGAATTTGTAGTAAAATGTATCTCATTTTGCCTTGCTGTTCAATAATGCAACATGACTGTTTCACTTTTCCTCTGCAAACATTGATCGCATCTGATACATTGACCGTACCATGCATAATAAATCTCTGCTTGCTATCTTATAAAAACTGAATAGCTATTTTGAATTCACTAATGGACTACTTAAATTCTCTCTTCATTTTTTTATTGCATTTAATGATTCCAGTTGGACGCAAAGGACTAAGTGTAGTATTTAAGTGACTCTTGTACAGTTGAAAGTTTGTCTCTGATTAAAGCATTTTAAAGGCATTTTAGAAACGTGCTTACTATCTGGATGTTGATTCACAAAAGATGTGAATGTAGTGAATTTACAAGCAGATTGGAAAGAGAAGTAGCACTTGGGAAAGGGGGTGGGGGAGTAACGTAGTACCGTTAAGTCAGGTTTATTTACTAAAGTGTGAGTTGTCTGAAACTTTAAGTTAATTTCAAGCCAATTATGTTTCAAGGTTGGCTTTTGTTGCCTTAAAATTTGAATGTTTATTTTAATTCACTTTGAATTCCTACCAACTGAACTTAAAGGAATCCCAACTTTGTTTTACATCTATCGTTTTATCCTCTATTATCTGTAGAAGCACTGTCCTTGGTGCCGCAGTTTCTTTCCGCAGCTCCTGACAGCCGACATCCTTGCTTGCTCATAAGCTGGTGACCTTGCTTGTTAGTGGAGTATGTTGCACTCTTACATATTCAAGAAAATGCAGAATGGATGATCGTGGAACATTCTTTTTATTAATCCTGACCACGTATTCTTGGATATGTGCATTGTGTTCTTATATCTATCTAAGATGCAGCCTAGAATGTCAGTTATCACGATTGACTGCTGACATTATTTGGAGGACTGGAAGACCTGTGCCATTTTTCATAAGGCTACTAAGAAAGAAGGCTCCACTTTGTCTTAAATAATTTAAACATGCATTCCTGACCCTATAGTGTTTAACCCACCATTTAGGTGGCTTGCCCCCCCTGTAGCCCTCCTATAAAAGTATAAAACTCACCTTATTTCCAGTGCCCTGCGGGTCTGCCCCCTTTGTGACATCATCAAAATGGCCGTTTTTTTGGCCAAACCAGTGGATTGGCTAAAATCGGCATGGGGCCAGGCCAGGCCAAATGCCCTTTTCACCAATCAGGACTGCTTACTGTGCAGCCCTGAGCCAGGTAGCACCTTCAGTGGCCATCTGAGTGGCGGCCACCTGGAGGTGTCCCTAGTGGCAATGTAAACACTGACATTTCTCTGAAAAGGCAATGTTTAAATGAAAATGCCTGAAGGGAGCTATTATACTCAACAGAACAACTACATTAAGCTGTAGTTGTTTTGGTGACTACAGTGTCCCTTTTAAATAAAAAATAATGTAAAAATTCTATCAATGCAATGAGGTTTTCTGGAAAAAAACACAGTCTTGATGCAGGTCCTTACCCAGAAAGGGTAATTGTCAACCTTCTGTACAGTAAAAGTACTTTCATTTCACATCCGAATATCCAGCACTGACTTGAGGCACCTGGTTTTATTCAGATTGCTGAAATAACTTCACCAAACCAAGGTTTCGTATGAGCCAATAAAGAAGCTCGGTAAAATGCTCCAAATAGCTCAGGGGATGACAAAGCCATGAAATTCTTAATTTTAAACCCTAACTAAACAACAATTGCTTTTTGTTGCATAGTCTCACTTTCAGTTCCATAAAATATCGGATGTGTGTGTCATTTGAGAAGCCAATGTGGTATGAGAGGCAAAGGGAAATGTTGATTTATTTCAAGAGAAAGTAAAGATAGGCCACATATACTTACCGCCCATGTATACATTTACCCTGCAGTTCTAATCGGTTAGATATATCATTATCTTGGTGATCATACATGATGTGTCTTGCTCTGTTATTCGTTTTAAAGCTATCCAGTGGACCCTGGAACACCTGAAAGACAGAATACAGATCAACGTTGAAGAAGGAAAGGAGACAGTCCTTCGAGTATCGACGTAAGTGCTCTCCATTCTTCTAGATCTCCTGCCCATCACAGCTTTTTACAGGTCTCTCAACCAAAAGTCCAGTCCAACAGTGCTCCTTACAGGTCACTTTATTTATCTCCAGTTTATCCATGTTTCTCTAAAGGTCCCTCCATTTTGTCCCCAGTACATCAGTGCTTCTAAGAAGTCACTCTGGTTGATCTTCAGTCCATTCAGGTCTTCCAAGAGGGCACTGTATTGTATCTCCATCAGAGTTTAAAATCGGTCTTATATAAAGGATTGTTTTTTTTTACTTTGAATTACATACTTGTTTGAAACAGAATATATTTTAAAGGATCACTATAGTGTCAGGAAAACAAATCGGTTTTCCTGACACTATAGTACCCCCTTAGGGTCCCCCTCCCGCCGGGCTGAAGGGGTTAAAACCCCTTCAGTTACTCACCTTCTTCCACCGCTGGGCTCCCTTATCCCCCCCCCCGCCAACGTCAGCGGAGCGGAATGCTATGTTTACAGCAGGCTGGATTAAACCTAGAGGGACCTGGCACCCAGACCACTTCATTGAGCTGTAGTGGTCTGGGTGACTATAGTGTCCCTTTAAGTTTAAGAATGTAGTTTATGACTGGGCCTGCCTGCTTCTGTTCTAGACATAGATAACAAAGATTATTTATTTCTAAGTGTCTAGATCGTTTCAGAAATGTTATATACGTGTTGGGGCTTTTGGTTATTAAGATGTGACCTTTCCCAAATATGAACCACCGTATCCCCTAATTTATCACCTAATTAAAAGCAGGTGCCAAAACTACCTTCACAACAACAACACAAAATGTCCAAAAAATAAGCATTTTTATGCTTAGTGGTGATACCTCAAATGGCCCAATGTTGCATTTGTCTGTTTTTTGTGCAGTTTTGAAAACCATTTTACATATTATCTTAAAGGAACACTATAGTCACCTGAACAACTTTAGCTTAATGAAGCAGTTTTGGTGTATAGAACATGCCCCATGCAGCCTCACTGCTCAATCCTCTGTCATTTAGGAGTTAAATCATTTTGTTTATGAACCCTAGTCACACCTCCCTGCATGTGACTTGCGCAGACTTCCATAAACACTTCCTGTAAAGAGAGCCCTATTTAGGCTTTCTTTATTGCAGGTTCTGTTTTGATTAAGATTTTCTTATCCCCTGCTATGTTAATAGCTTGCTAGACCCTGCAAGAGCCTCCTGTATGTGATTAAAGTTCAATTTAGAGATTGAGATACAATTATTTAAGGTACTTTACATCTGTTTGAAAGTGAAACCAGTTTTTTTTTTCATGCAGGCTCTGTCAATCATAGCCAGTGGAGGTGTGGCTAGGGCTGCATAAACAGTAACAAAGTGATTTAACTCCTAAATGACAGTGAATTGAGCAGTGAAGTTGCAGGGGAATGATCTATACACTAAAACTGCTTTATTTAGCTAAAGTAATTTAGGTGACTATAGTGTTCCTTTAACTCTGCTTTTAGTTTGGTCATTCAATCTTGTACAGCCTGATGTTATGAGAGCAGTATAAATAGAGAAGTGGACTATTGTGTGTTTTATGTGTTTAGTCACCTGTTTTTTTTTTTTGTTACAGTGATGTCTCTTTCACTGATGTGAACTCCATCATTCGATACTTGGCCAGGCTTGTACCAGATGCTGGGTTGTTTGGCTCCAATCAGATGGAACAGACCGAGGTAGGGTTGCCCATATAAATCATTTTCTCTTTTTTTCTTTCTCAATAAAAATGTATTTTAAAGCGGCAGACATGTGGCTGGGACTTACATCTGATAATTGTCTTTAACTGCTATGCATCTTTTTGATCGTTTTCACACCTGGTATTTTCAGCCATTTTACGATTACTTTGTGTCTGCTGAAACCCTGCCCTACCAGTATAGTGCCGCTAAGTTAGTGTCTTACAACTTTACAAATTAGCTAACAATCATTGCTTGGCTAGCAATAGCTTCAAATATGTCTTAAAGGAGCACTATAAAGTCAGGAACACAAAACTGTATTCCTGACCCTATAGGGTTAAAACCACCATCTAGCCACCCTGGTCACCTCATGCCTCCATAAATATAGTCAAATCTTACTTGTATTCAAGTCTGCAGCTGCTTACTTAGTCCCTATTTCCTTTAGACCTGCCCACTGCCTGCGGACATCAGCAGAAGTGGTAGCCTGATCCAATCACAATGCTTCCCCATAGGATTGGCTGAGACTGACAAAATGGCAGATCAGAGGCAGAGCCAGCACAATTCAAACACAGCCCTGGTCAATCAGCATCTCCTGATAGAGCTGAATTGAATCAATGAATCGTGGTCCTTTAAGGAGACTTGTTCTGCCAAAGCAACTTTACATGTGTTTGTGTATTTGCATAAAATGAATACTCAAAGCACCACAAACCTTTCAGCTTATTGGGGTCCTGGAATACTGTGGGTGCACTCTGATCTGGTTTTTGTCAAAACCGTAGTATTCCCTGGCAGAAATATAATAGGAAAGTTTTTTTTTATTTTCTTACTCATGTAATTTTTGTGTGACCATCATTGCCTGTCAACACAATACAATTAAAGGCTCAGAGCACTGAGCTGTAGGATCAACCCACTATTAACCTTTCCTGTGCTTCATTGTCCCCTCCAATGTACCCCCCTTTTAATATATGCCCAGTTGTCTTTGAGTGAGATTTTGTATCATTATTAGTTTTGTTTTTTTATAGTTAATATTAGATTACCAGTTTGGTCACTGCTGTTGCCTTGCACACATTGTACTAAATCGAATAGATTTCTCAGTTTGGAAGTGTTCTAATCGGTTATTTTGGGAGTGAAGTCATATTGTGTAGAAGAGATGGTTTTTGTTGGTGTGTGATTTTTACTGTTCTGCCCAGAATAGCTGTCCTCGGTCTTAGAAAGCGCACAGAATATTTAAACTCTCAGCCCAGCTGTTCCTGCCACGTCTGCTCAGCTGTTGGATACCTTCCCTGGTGCTGGCAGGTTCACATTACTATAGCTCTGGAGAGCCTCTTGCTGCAAGAGTTCTAGAATCGTACGTGCATTCTATCCAATATAAACCATGCTTGTACATACATCTGTTTGTTATTAGGGTTTTTATTCAAGTCTGCAGCTGCATTGCAAACATATTGGTTTTACACTATTTGTAAGCGATCTGTAAGGAAATTTGCAATTATTTTAACCACTTCTTCTCATTAACTGCAAAATGTTAAAATGAATAACCCAAGCTTTACCTAATTTGTTTTATTTTTTTTTAAACAAATCTGCTATTTATATTTTGCAGTTTTGGTTTCTGTTCATTACAGGTCTCTACTTTTGTAAATACAACTGTTTGTTAAAAAAAAAAAAAAAAAATTGCGTTGGGGAGTGGAAATTTTGAGCCCTGCTCAACAAAACACAAAGACAAGGCCCAAGCAAAACAAAACTTTTAAGTGCAGTCAACTGTTCATTTAGTGTTATAAATTCAACCAGAAAATTTTTAGGGAAAAATAGTCAAAGAATAAATTGAGAGGTAACTTAATAGAAAAATTGTTTCTGTTCAGTCCATACTGGCTGTAGTGGATGTGAGCGAGTGCTGTGATGCGCTGGAGCACCCAAAATGTGTGCGCTTAGGGAATGTACAAATGAACTATTTATGGCTACCACACCATATCACTAAAAAGTGAGTACTTTAGTTTCCCTTGCTTTTTAATGAATGGCTTCTTCTTGTGTTTTAGATAAACCACTGGATTGAGTTTAGCCGAACAAGACTGCAGGAAAAGTCCTCTTTTCTTGCAGGTCTTCGTGATCTCAACCACAGCCTCTCGCTCCGAACCTACCTGGTGGGGGACACGTTGACCTTGGCTGACATCAGTGTGTTTTCAGCTTTGGAAGGTGTGTACGTATAACATGCAATTGAAATATATACTTGAGATGAAGTCGTGATTAACTAAAAATGTATTTTAACATAACCAATATCTGTAACCTAACCTGCAACTATCAAGTGTGGGTGCCTGGAACATCCTTTTAAAGGATCACTGTCTCCATATCTGTATTCCTAACGTTACATTGCTGATGCCCCTTCTAATTTCAACACCCCCCTCCATGTAAATAATAATAATAATAATAAAAAACAAAATGAACCGAATAACTCTCCCTTTTTCCCATGGTGCTGCCGCTATCTCATCCTAGACGCCTGCCTCCATGATCACTGGCCACTCACCACTATTCATTATTTTGAAAACATCATCCTTTGAAATGCTGTAAATATAATAATTTACCATCCTTTTCCCAGCATCCAGTAACTGGCAAGCAGAACTGAAAAATAATAAAGCACCGGTAAACATCAAACGCTGGTACAGCTTTCTGGAACACAGACTGGTCTCCTCCGGGGGAATAACTTTCACAGCAGTAAGTGACATAGAAATGTGTGTGTGTATCATAAATGTGTGCACGTATAAAATCTATATAATATAATGTATATTGCAATATATATACACACACACACACCGTTTTTAAAATATTCTTTATTTTGTTCCCCACTTGCACACAGTTATATTTAATAAAATGTAAACTATGTGAATACAAATTTGCTGAAAATGTGGCCTTGCATATTCATAGCTCTATATCATTAGAATTGTTAAATGTCAGAACTGAGTAAAAAAAAATGAAGACCCGTTATAAATCAGGCCTGTGAAAGTAGGTGTGAGAGGGGCCTTTGGTGTACTGTTGCATCATTCTATCATAGTAAATCATTCTGTATGCGTAATAAAGCAGAGCTACGGATTTAAAGATTACTAAGCGCTGAAAATCCATATCTGTACAGCCTGTTGTAATGGATATTGTGCAATCAGTCTCTTCCTTTTTCTATGTTTATTTTTTTATAGTCAGATTATTTGTGGGGGGGGTTTTATGAACTCAGGGGTTCTGCCATCACATAAAGCCTACAGTTCAGTTGCCACTGAGATAAGAATTTTCACTTCAACAGTAGAAACATAAAACAGTCCATCCTTGGATAAGCTGTAAGAGATTGACTATGCCACCTCTAGTGGTTATAGCCTGTAATTGCTGTTCATACATGGCCACATTTGTATAGATAGTGTGAAAAAGAAATAAATCTCTATTTTAGCAGCAGATATGCCAGTCTTTGAGGCCCTGGTTTTACACAAAATCTGACAAAAATAGGGAAACTATATCTAAAGGCTTTTGGCACCATATCCACTACAAAAGGCTGGTATAGTGCTTCATCTCCATTTAATCTAACTTGTAGCTTTAATACAAAACCGAGGAACAAATTCTGCACTTGTGTTATTTTACACTGGAGACTTAAGTTGAATTTTCCTTGAACTCACTCTAGAGGTAAAGGGGGTATTTTTTATTTTTTATTTTTTTTTTACCAATATGTTTGCAATGCATTTTGCCATTGTAAACTTCTTGTTTTTTTTAAAAGTTAATTCCATTCAATTTTGTAAAAATTATTTTTTGAGAAAATGTCTCTTTTTCAGCTATGGTGTTTTTTGTGTCAGACTCAACTCTTATCCAACCAACTGCTTCTCAACCTAACTCGCCGGCTGCTGCACTTTTACACAGAGCAATAGCAGCAAGCAGGTTGGATTGAGCAGCAGTCGGTCAGCTAACAGTAGTGTCAAACCCAAAACAGCTGCTCAGCTTGGTAAAATCAATGTAGGCCATTTAAAAATAAAATAAAAATCATTACATTTCATTAAATGTCATAAACTTTAAAAAAAAAAAGAGAGAGAGAGAGAATGAAAATTTGATGACATCTGTCCTTTAATAGCCAGAATCGCAATAGCTGATTTATTTAGATGTGAGATATCAAAACTGCTCGGTAATGTTTTATTAAAAACAAAGTCTGACTAGCGATACTTCACTTCCTATCTATCACCAGGCACCTGAAAAGAAGAAAGATGTCGGAAAATTTGTTGAACTCCCAGGGGCAGAGATCGGAAAGGTTGTTGTGAGATTTCCTCCCGAGGCCAGTGGGTAAGTACTAAGTGCTCCCCTACCAGATTATCCAATTTATGGATATTTGTGAGAATATCTTCTAGTAACACCATTGGATATAATAGTTCTTATTTTATTTAAAGGAACACTATAGTGCCGTTTTCCTGGCACTATAGGGTTATTGGGTTCCCACTCTCTCGTTGCCCTCGACCCGCTGGGCTGAAGGGGTTAAAACCCAATTCAACCACTTACCTTAATCCAGCGCCAGGCTCCCTCAGCGCTTGTTACCTCTCCTCCTCCTTTTGACGTTCAGCCGTGAATGTGCATGCGCAGCCAGAGCCGTGCGCGCATTCAAACCGCCCATAGGAAAGCATTATTTAATGCTTTCCTATGGACATACAGCGTCTTCTCACTAGAGGCTGTATTAACCCTCAGTGAAACATAGCACTTAATTGAACTGAAGTGGCCTGGGTGCCTTTTAGTGGTCCTTTAATTGGCTGTGTTCTTAATTTTTCCTAATTAATGGTGGAACATGTAAAATTATGTACATTATACATAGAAAGGTGGGAATGAATTGAAATAGATAAATATTAAGCCACATTTTCAGGTATTTCTATGTTCCTTTGTCTTGTTTGGTAGTTAATACTGAATTTATCAGTAAAGCTCTTGAAAACTCTCCTGAGCAATAAATACGATGTGAAAGTATATGATGTCAGTTTGTTTACGTATCTGCTACCACATTTTGTAGAAACGTGTAATGGTTCCTCTATGAATTCTTGTTCAATCAATTTATGATGTGTCCATTATTGCTCTCCTTTGTAACAGAAAGTATTTGTTTTTCCTAGATATCTGCACATTGGACATGCTAAAGCTGCTCTTCTCAATCAACACTACCAGGTCACCTTTAAAGGGAAACTTATCATGAGGTTTGATGACACCAACCCTGAAAAAGAGAAGGAGGATTTTGAGAAGGTGTGTTGCTACAGTTTGTACATATATGTGACTCTTTGTGTGATTTTTGATGATAGGTAAGGACGGCTAATTTCTGAGTATAGTTTACTTCGTAACAAATGATCAGGGTCAAGCACAGCAACTCTTGTGGATATCCTGCCTGTTTTGCATTGCGTTGCTCCTGGAAATATCCACACTGAATACTATCATCAGCTTATTGTGATAACATACCGTGGACTGAGTACTAGTCCTGCTTGATTGCTTGTTGTTTCCATTACTTAAAGATTCATCGTCAACATTCTAAAATTCCAGTCTTTTTGCAGCTGTAAAATATTTCAGTGGTAGATGTTGTAGTGTGAAATTTTATATAAAGGTCATTTTTAATAAGGCCTTACTGCCATAAAGTAGATGCGCCCAGTCTCATTTCTGAAAGTGTATAATAACTGCAGTGATTCGTAAAATATGACTGCTCCCATGGTCGGCACCTTTCCCAATAGTAAAGCACAGCTATGCTTTCTTACAGTGCATCAATCTTGTATGGCAACTATTGGTTTATAGAGCAGTTACAGTTCTGTGATGACTGGAGATTATTTTAATTACAGCAGGGCAGAGGATTTGGGGATAAAATCACATCTCCTAGAGACTGAAATGAAATGCTCCTGATTGGAGTGTCTCATTCTGGTTTAGTTAGGATGTGACTGCAGTTTTATGCAGACCCACTATGCAGAAGGGACACTGTAAACAGTATGTGACTTTTATTTACTTTTTTTTTCTTTTTTTTTACTAGGAGTATTCTATTAAAATGAATGTAATGTTGTTGTTTTTTTTAGGAACACTAAGCCTTTAAATATATATAGAGTGAGGTTCACATATTATCCATTATTGCTTTCTATGTTCCGAACTCCCGTTTTGTGACTATCACAGTAGTTTGAGATGAAGACTGTTACTTTGTTGGCATTGGAATATTAAGGTATGAGTATACTCATAAAAACAATTTAAGGTTGCATTCTTTTAGCAAGGGGCAGAATGGTGAAAAGGGATGGGGGGGGGGGAGAGAAACTAAATTAGGAGACCTCCTTTGTTATCAGGAAAGTGATTATGGTTCAGAATACCTTTCAAAAGGCAATTGGAAGGGGCACAGAGTCCCCAATCAAACTGTTCATTTTCTTGATGCTCTTTTGATGCTACTTTACCTTTAGAAGTGCAATAAGCTGTGGTATGGTGTTGCCACATTAACCCCTTAAGGACACATGCCATGTGTGACATGTCACGATTCCCTTTTATTCCAGAAGTTTGGTCCTTAAGGGGTTAAAGGCTTTTTTTTTTCTTTGATTCTGGAATAGTTGGTTTGTAATATATATTTTATGACATATTTTCATTGTACTCTACAGGTTATTTTAGAAGATGTTTCCATGCTCCAGATCAAGCCAGACCAGTTCACATACACCTCTGATCACTTTGAAACCATAACAAAATACGCAGAAAAACTTATTCAGGAAGGAAAGGCATACGTGGATGACACCCCCGCTGAACAAATGAAATCTGAACGAGAGCAGAGGCTAGAATCCAAACACAGAAATAACTGTAGGTTTATTTAATGTGACATTAATGGCCGCCTTCTTTTCTTTGCCTAGGTACACTAATTGAAATAGTCAATACACTATAATCGGATTTTTACTGTGTGAACAATTGAAGAATCGCTGTTTAATCCAAGAGGTGAAGGCGTTGAAAATTAAGGCCAATTAGCAGTTTTATTGGGAGAGGTTGTAGTCTAGAAAACAATAGTGTTGTCAATGTTGAAATGTCTTTGAAGTTCTCATATACTCAGACGATATGCACTGGACAATTTATTATTTATCTATTTTTACCCTTTTTCTCATGTAAGACCTGATTATTACCAAAATGTGGCACATGTATTGATGGGAACATGTCTGTAGATGCCTCTGATATCTTATTACACTATGTACATAAAAATGAATATGGAAAAGCTTTTCTGATCATCCATATTCACCTGTTTATATTGTTGCTATTGCACAAGAGTACAAGTTTCACATGGTTTCGCCTGCCAGAAACTAAAGAAAATGGCGGTGGCTAAGATGATGATTGAGTCACCATCTGAGTGTCCCTCATCTTGGCAAAACCATACAAATAGACATGTGGTCTTGGGGGAGTAAATGCCATGCAATCTCTCATATTGGCATTGGAAAAGGTTCTAATAGCCATCCTGAATTAATGAAGCTTTGTTTTGAAACTAATAGAATCCATTTCTCTGTAGCTGTAGAGAAGAACCAGCATATGTGGGAAGAAATGAAGAAAGGTTCGGAGTTTGGTCAGACTTGCTGTTTACGAGCCAAAATTGACATGAACTCCAACAACGGCTGCATGCGAGACCCCACGCTATTCCGCTGCAAGACCCAGCCGCACCCAAGGACTGGGAGCAAGTACAAGTACGTTAAACATATATATGTATATCATATACCCAACATATATCGAAGTGTACATTCACTGCACTCCAAGTACCATTTAAAGGGCACGTTACTCTCCTGCACATGCATCTTCTGTACAAAATACACCAATATTTCAACTGTCCAGTAAATGGGTAGGGCTTAAAAAAAATAAAATCATATGGCGGTGTCAGAGATGTTGAGGTAGAGTGGCAAATAGGAAAAGGCAGATAGCAGAGACGCTTTCTATAACTTTTATAAAATGTAACTTTATTTTTATTTTTTTGTCTTGATTTGGTGATCTTAAAAATTCAGATCTTCAGAAAGACATTCCTTTGCATCCAGGAGTAATTTCTGTGAATGTCTGCTAAACATTAGAAATATATGACTTGGATTAGAAAAAGGGTATGTCTGATTTGTTTAATAAAACACAAAGGGAAAACTTTTTATTTTTTATTTTTTTATTTTGAAGAAAAAAAAAAAAGCTAGACAAGAAGTCATAACCTAAAGATAGGAGGTAAAAAGTTTGACATTGTCAGGAATAACTTTTTCTTTTTTCTATTTAAAAAAATAAAATAAAAAATTAATTTGTAGATCAGTTGTATTGGCGAGCTATGCAGTAATGGTATGGGAGACTAAATTCAATGAAAGACCATAGAAAGCTTACATATAGATTGGCGGGAATCCTTTTATCCTCTGTTAAAATCTGTGTAGCTGAACAATATTATATTTGCTACATTTTACTAAATGCTTTTTGGGGTATACTATTTATTGGATGAAATTTCATAGCATGTTATTGTTGACTTTTTGCTCCTGTATTGTAATCTTTCAGTATATATCCCACGTACGACTTTGCGTGCCCCATTGTAGACAGCGTAGAGGGCGTAACACATGCTTTGAGAACCACAGAGTACCATGATCGAGATGAACAGTTTTACTGGATCATTGATGCGTTGGGAATCAGAAAGCCATACATCTGGGAATACGCCCGGTTGAACCTTAATAACACTGTCCTGTCAAAACGGAGGCTTACATGGTTCGTCAATGAAGGTCTTGTGGATGGATGGTAAGTTGGAGTCATCTTGAAGTACTCCAGATTTTAAGCTATCTATAGATGTTAAAATGGATAAACCTGTGAATAATCTCTTATCTTTTTGAATGGACATTCCAAGGTCCTAGGAAACTTAGTGTCAGCCCTTTCATTTTCCCTTTCCTTATTCCTTTTTTCCATTCCATTTTCCTTTTCCTTATTCCTTTTTCCATTCCATTTTCCCTTTCCTTATTCCTTTTTCACTTTCCTTATTCTTTTTTTGCCTTTTCTTATTCTTTTTTTGCCTTTTCTTATTCCTTTTTCCATTCTGTTTTCCCTTTCTCTATTCTTTTTTTTCACTTTTCTTATTCTTGAAATGATTTGACAAAAACAAACATCCCAGAGAATACTAATCATTAGAATTTTCCACTTTGAAAAATCCACTTATTCATAGAAACCTAGAATGTGACGGCAGATAAGAACCATTCGGCTCATCTAGTCTGCCCAATTTTCTAAATACTTTCATTAGTCCCTGGCCTTTTCTTATAGTTAGGATAGCCTTTTGCCTATCCCACGCATGTTTAAACTCTTTTATTGTGTTAACCTCTACCACTTCAGCTGGAAGGCTATTCCATGCATCCACTACCCTCTCATTAAAGTAATACTTCCTGATATTATTTTGAAACCTTTGCCCCTCTAATTTAAGACTGTCCTCTTGTTGTGGTAGTTTTTCTTCTTTTAAATAGTCTCCTCCTTTACTGTGTTGATTCCCTTTATGTATTTAAATGTATCATCATCATATGCCCCCGTCTCGTCTTTCCTCCAAGCTATACATGTTAAGATCCTTTAACCTTTCCTGGTAAGTTTTTTGTCCTGCAATTCATGAACCAGTTTAGCAGCCCTTCTCTGAACTCTCTCTAAGGTATCAATATCCTTCTGAAGATACGGTCTCCAGTACTGTGTACAATACTCCAAGTGAGGTCTCACCAGTGGTCTGTACAATGGCATGAGCACCTCCCTCTTTCTACTGCTAATACCTCTCCCTATACAACCAAGCATTCTGCTAGCATTTCCTGCTGCTCTATTACATTGTCTGCCTACCTTTAAGTCATTAGAAACAACCAAGCATTCTGCTAGCATTTCCTGCTGCTCTATTACATTGTCTGCCTACCTTTAAGTCATCAGAAATAATCACCCCTAAATCCCTTTCCTCATATGTTGAGGTTAGGTCTCTATCAAATATTCTGTACTCTGCCCTTGGGTTTTTACGTCCAAGATGCATTACCTTGCACTTATCCACATTAAATGTCAGTTGCCACAATTCTGACCATTTTTCTAGTTTACCTAAATCATTTGGCTTATCCCTCCTGGAACATCAACCCTGTTACATCTTAGTATCATCAGCAAAAATACATACCTTACCATCAAGACCTTCTGGAATATCACTAATAAAAATATTAAAGAGAATGGGTGCAGATCCCTGATGTACCCCACTGGTGACAAGTCCAAGCTTCGAATATATTCCATTGGCTACAACCCTCTGTTGCCTGTCACTCAGCCACTGCCTTACCCATTCAACAATATTGGAATCCAAACGATTGCAGTTTATTGATAAGCCTTCTATGTGCAACAGTGTCAAAAGCCTTACTGAAATCTAGGTAAGCAAATGTCTACTGCACCACCCTGATCTATAATTTTAGTTACCCAATCAAAAAAATCAATAATATTAGTGTGGCATGATCTTCCTGAAGTAAACACATGTTGTCTCTGATCTTGAAATCCATGTGTTTTTAGATGTTCAACAATCCTATCCTTTAACATGGTTTCCATCACTTTCCCCACTACTGAAGTAAGGCTTACTGGCCTATAGTTGCCCGACTCCTCCCTATTACCTTTCTTGTGAATGGACACAACATTCGCTAACTTCCAATCTTCTGGATCTACTCCTGTTAACAATAATTTGTTAAATAAATCTGTTAATGGTTTTGCTAGTACACCACTAAGCTCTTTTAATAGCTTTGGGTGTATTCCATCAGGTCCCATTGACTTATTTGTCTTTACTTTTGACAGTTGAAATAGAACCTCTTCCTCTGTAAACTCACATGTAATATATGACTCATTTATCCTTTTTCTTAACTGAGGTACCTTTCCTTCATTTTCATCTGTAAATACAGAACAAAAATATTCATTGAGGCAGTCAGCTAGACCTTTATCCTCTTCTACATACCTTCCTTCTTTTGTTTTTAATCTAACTAATCCTTGTTTTACTTTTCTTTTCTCATTTATGTATCTAAAAAAGTTTTGTCCCCTTTTTTTTACTGACTGTGCTATTTTCTCTTCTGTGTGTGATTTGGAAGCTCTTATAACTTGCTTAGCCTCTTTCTGCCTAATCTTATAGATCATTCTGTCTTCCTCACTGTTTTTTTTTTTAAATTACTAAATGCTAACTTTTTGTTTTTAACTATTTTGGCCACATCTACGGAGTACCACAGTGCTTTCTTGAATTTTTTTGCTTTTACTGACAAGCCTAATGCAATTTTCTGTTGCCTTCAGTAGTGCAACTTTTAAATAATCCCATTTATCTTGGACTCCATTTAAATTGCTCCAGTCTGATAATGACTCCTCTACACATATTCTAATTTTAGAAAAGTCTGTTTTTCTAAAAAGTCTAAAACTTTTGTTTTTGAGTGGTGTGACTCAGTCACTGTTCTTATATTAAACCACAATGACTGATTATCACTGGTTCCTAAACTTTCACCTATAGTAATATCTGATACCAAATCTCCATTTGTTAATACTAAATCTAGTATGGCCTCTTTACGAGTTGGCTCCTCAACAACTTGTTTTAGAGACAATCCCCGTAGGGAGTTTAGAATATGTGTGCTCCTGGCACAAGCAGCTATTTTTGTTGTCCAATTCACATCAGGAAGATTAAAGTCACCCATGATAATAACTTCCCCCTTCATTGTCATTTTAGCTATTTCCTCAACTAGTAGATTATCTAACTCTTCAATTTGTCCTGGTGGCCTATAAATCACACCTGCACGAGTTACTGTGTGATTACCAAATTCTAACGTAACCCAAACGGACTCTGTTTGCCTCACTAACTTTTATTAGGCTAGATTTTATGCTATCCTTCACATACAGGGCCACTCCTCCCCATTTCTTGCCTTCCCTATCTTTTCTACATAAAGAGTACCTTGGTATTGCTATGTCCCAGTCATTTTTCTCATTATACCATGTCTCAGTAACAGCAACTAAATCTACATTATCAGTTGCCATCATTGCCACAAGTTCATGGATCTTATTCCCTAAACTGCGAGCATTTGTAGACATGACTCTAAGCTTATCATTTTTTAACACACTTGCTACAGGCACCTTCTGTCCTTGTTTTAGGGGACAATTGGATTGATGTTTTATCACCCTTTTGCCCCCCCCTCCTAGTTTAAATACATCCTAGCAAAACCTCTGAACTGCTCACTGAGAACATTTGTTCCCTTTTGAGAAAGATGCAAACCATCTTTTTTGTACAGCTTGTCTCCATTCCAAACAGAGCTACCATGAGAAATAAAGCCAAATCCTTGCTCCCGACACCATTCACCAAGCCACAAGTTAAAGTCCCTAATACGCATCCGCCTGTCGTTCTGAGTGTTATGCACAGGCAGAACTTCAGAGAGTGACAGTGTGGAAGCAACTTGCCGTATATCATTGGCAAAAACACTAAAAACTTCCTTAACCTCTGAAACCTCATTGCAAGTCAAGTCATTTGTCCCTAGATGGACAAGTACATCCAATTCCCCTTCTTGCTTTGCTCACTTAACAATATTACAGAAACATCTCCAGTAGCTTCGGGAAGACATCTCACAAGACCACCATTGTCCATCTCCACACCTCTTATGATGGAATCCCCCAACAACTGCTTTCTATTAGGCCTCACCATAGTCTCCAAGCCTGTCTCCACAACACCACTAGCCTCCGTGCCTGAGCCTGTCTCCACAACACCACTAGCCTCCGTGCCTGAGCCTGTCTCCACAACACCACTAGCCTCCGTGCCTGAGCCTGTCTCCACAACACCACTAGCCTCCGTGCCTGAGCCTGTCTCCACAACACCACTAGCCTCCGTGCCTGAGCCTGTCTCCACAACACCACTAGCCTCCGTGCCTGAGCCTGTCTCCACAACACCACTAGCCTCAGTGCCTGAGCCTGTCTCCACAACACCACTAGCCTCAGTGCCTGAGCCTGTCTCCACAACACCACTAGCCTCAGTGCCTGAGCCTGTCTCCACAACACCACTAGCCTCAGTGCCTGAGCCTGTCTCCACAACACCACTAGCCTCAGTGCCTGAGCCTGTCTCCACAACACCACTAGCCTCAGTGCCTGAGCCTGTCTCCACAACACCACTAGCCTCAGTGCCTGAGCCTGTGTCCACAACACCATTTCAATCTGAAAGTGCAGAACATGAATTATGTAGAGCAACAGACTGTGCAATATGCCTTTTATCCACATCTCTAAGTTTACCAGATCCTACAGTAATCCATCTTCCATTCCTAGTATGTCTCTGTGGCAGTGTCTTTGCAGCAGTTCCAGTCTGAGTTTGTTTACCAGATAATTTACAAATCTCAGACTTCAAAAATACAATCTCCTGCCGCAAAATAGAGAACTGTCTACAGATTGGACAACAACCAAACATCCAAAAAGTGTAACGTGAAAGAAATGCATAGCAACAATTACACTAAACTGTCTGCCATTCCAATGAGGAGAATAATTTAAATCAAACAAATCTTAACTTTTTATTTATCCTCCTGAATACCTCAGATTACTTCCAGCTTATCTCCAGAATATCTCCAACTACACACTTAGAAGCAACACTCTCCAGAATATCTCCAACCACACACTTAGAAGCAACACTTAGATGAAACAACTAAGCTATGTAAGCCAAGCTAATGACAACAGCCCTTATATAACTCCTAAAATCACCACCCACTAGGAATGTTTAACACCTGGGTATGCCTCTACTTATTTGCAAACAATAGCTAATTTAAACAGCAATCAATAATTGTTAGTCATTATTATTTACCTTTATAAAAGGGAAGGCATTTAACAATAAAAAGTTAAAAAAAAAAAATTTTTTTTGTATGTCAGGTTAATATCTTGTTTTTTCACATGCACGAACGCGCTGGATCTTGTGCATTATATATATATATATAATTTTTTTTTTTCCCTTCTCTTTTCCTCACAGGGATGACCCCAGATTCCCAACTGTACGTGGAGTTCTTAGAAGAGGAATGACTGTAGACGGACTCAAGCAATTTATTGCTGCACAGGTAAGTATTTCTGAATGGGGAAACAATTCGAATTTAATTGGAATCTTTCATCACGCATTTAAAAGCCCAGTAGAGAACTCATTTGGCTAGTCTTCCTATCAATGTCCAGTGAGCTTTTTTTATATTTCTGAGGTTTTAAATACCATTCAGCTAGATAATAGCCTCTACACATTAGGAGATACTTGATCATTAAAGAAAAGCTCACTATATGTTTATAATAATCCCATAAGTTTTAACATTTAACATAGCTAAAGTATACAGAATTTTTTGGATCCAATGATTGTTGGTGTCTCCTATAAACTGATTCTTTCATAAAAAATTATACAAAATTCTGTAGTCTTCAGTTTACTAAATTATATGCATATTCATTGAAAATGCCTTCATAAATTCCATTTTAGTGCACGTAGCGGTAGTAGGCTGCATGCATCGTCCCTTTGGTTTCAACACTGTTTTTCTAGTTAGACACGAAAATCAGGGACTGCGCCAAAAGCATGCTAGTGCTACAGCCATGTAGACGTTCACTGCTCTTTTTGTTGCCGGGGTTTCAAAGATCTAGAAACAAAATTATTGAGAGAGCGGCTGGATATGTCCACCTGCTTGTATCTTACTCCTGCACTTGTCACAGACTATTGTCTTACGAATGTTGTGCTATTAATTGTGACATAGTGTATCTAGATTATTATTATTATCACCATTTATATAACGCCAACAGGTTCTGTAGCAGTTTACAATATTATTAGGGGGGGGATTTAACTATAAAAAGGACAATTACAAGAAAACTTTCAGAAATGGTAGGTTGAAGAGAGCCTTGCTCAAACGAGCTTACAGTCTATAGGAGGTGGGGTATAAAACACATTAGGACACATTCTTATTAACCAATCCTCTGTTACTTTTATTGTAGGGCTCTTCAAGGTCGGTTGTGAACATGGAATGGGACAAGATTTGGTCTTTTAACAAGAAGGTATGTACCTACACAGATGTAGTAACACAAATTGTAAACCACTCGTTTATATCCGGCCTTTAATGCACTTTATAACAGCACACCATAGATCCCCGGCGGTAACATTAGTAGTATTATTGTAAATGTTTTCTCATTTTCTCGTTCATTCTGAGTATTCTCACAAACTCACTAACTTACATAAACAATTGTTGACTTGTGGGACGGAACTTGCCATAACTTTGATCTGAAAACTCTGCATTTCATTTTTATGCTTTCAAGCTGCGAGCTATCTGTAAGAAGGTATCAATTACTCAGTGCTTTTTTTTTTATTATTATTATTTTTTTTTAAAGTGATATTTTTATTTTGTCTTTGGCATATAGCTTAAAGTTCAGTAAGCACACATTGCTTACTCCATTATTTTGCAGCTTAAAACACAATCACATTGCTTTAACTCCTAAGCATATATTTACGGTACATCACTGGTACATCACTCTTTCATAATTCTGTTCTGTGACCAACAAAGGTGCATTCACTGTTATATTAAATCTTAGATTATACAAGGTGCAGACATCATTTAGCTCTCCAGCTGCTTGTAACCCCAATACATGGATTCTTCGAGGAAATCTTGGGAATTATTCCCCAACATTTTTATTTTTTTTTTATGAAGGGACATAATTAAGAAAAACATTTTTTTTAATTTTTTTTATTTATTTAATTCTGTCTTTCATAATTAGTTGAGAACAAAATCCATTTTGGCCCATCTAGTTCTATACTATATAAATTGTATATATTTGTTTCGTACTTTGTGTTCAGCAGTAATTAAACCAAAAGTAGTACACTGCCCTCTTACGTTCTATTGTGAGTAAGATACGGCAACACTGCTTTATATTGTAAATAACTGATTTTGAACTTGTAATATGACACAATATACGTCGATATGATGTAACACTAGTATATACATGCAGCTTTTCATCATTTCTCTCTGTGCAGTCTGTGCTCAATCTTCCCTTGAGCAGGTGCAATGATATGCAATGCACATTGAAAAAGGTCAGGTAAGACTAAAACTCGTTGATTGTTGAATTGTCTACTATTTACCTAGGATTTTGTTGATCAGAAATGAGTATAAGATGCTTTTTCACAAATTTGCTGAGGTATTGCTCCCATATTTGATTTACCTGCGTGTCTGTTTTACCTAGAAGACTGCACACAGAGAGATAGCCAGAAACTACATGTTCATACCTTTGTCATCATAAAATTATGTGGCTACAAAGTAAATGTGGCTCGCAGTGTCTAACTCGCATTATAATGTAAGAGGACAGTTTAAAATCTAGCTGTAGAGCTTGCCCACTTGTTTTGAAATCTAGCTGTAGGGCAGACCAACTGTAAAATCTGTTGTATTTTCTTTTCTTTCTTAATTACTTTTTGTGCACTATATCATTAAGATTTGCAGAAGTATTATGAACATTTCACAGTGGATTCAAGAAAGAAATTCTCCAGCACTTGAAATATTGTAAGTTTTCATTTTTATTTAGTGCATTGCAGAAATCACTCAAATGGCAATGCTTTGACTAATTGAGTAGTTTTTATCAAGCCTTACATCACTCATTAGTGCTTATCAATAAATTGTGAATAATCAGGAAGTGGTCATGACAAGGGTCAAATTCCAAAAATACATTACATAACAAACGCATAACAATATGTCAAATAAGAAAATCACGTGACTGTATATATCACATGATACATCACATGATAAAAATTTAGAGGTCACATATTAAAGAGAGATCAGTCCACATTTGATACTATTATCCATGGAGAAAACCAATAAAGTCTGTGGAGTGTTTTTGGTTACCACTTCCTGTTTATGCACTGTAATGGCACCCCCAGCCATAAAAGGGGTAAACCGCCATTTAGAAGATCTTCCCTTCCAGAGACACAGGCACAGCTACTGTAGACACCAATACACTGAACCAGAGAAGCATTTGAATGCTCTCAAACATACGAATGCTGTAGACAGCCGAATAGGAAAAACCATACGAATAGGTTTACACTCCTAGCAGTCAAACTGGAACAGCATACAATAAATCCCCCCCCCCCCAAGAACGAGACAAGGCTCCGTTTTGAGGGTCAAGCAGGAACAGACAGAGCTGTGGGTTTATTGTTCTTATATACACATTAGTACCACCCACAGGGTTTTGGAAAACAACCAATAAACACATACAATACACTCAGACACTCCCACACAATCCTCCCCTCTGCCTGTGATACAATTACCTTACACAATGGGTAATGTAATTATCACCGGCAGAGAAATACAGTTTTTCCACATTATTCATAATTTTAAAAGTATGCATCACATTCATTTTAAGAATCAGCATACTCCAAATACGAACATATGTCAAAATCATCCACATTGGTTCAAAGGATAGATCGAAGTCCTTTGTGACCAAAGGAAGCATGGCTTTTCTGCCCAAAACCAGTTCCACAGAGTCTTCTATCCTGGAGATAATTGGGAAGTAATCCAATTATCTCCAAGGACAGAGGCAAAACTCCATTAAGCACATGGTAGTAAAAAGACAGCAAAATACATAAAAATACACAAGGTTACATTTATTACATAAAATACAGACATGCAACATATCCCCAGATAGCTTAGGTCTGAGCGCACATTATTACTGATTGGCTCTCAAACCACACACATACAGTTCAATTGCCATGAAGCCAAAGTCTTTTATTACACGAATAGGCTCCATGGCATAGCTATCTGGGTTAAATGAGTTCGTTCAGTAAATCCGAGAATCTACGGAACGCCAGAGCAGAAATACATGAATAGACCTTTCTGCATAGGAATATAAAGTATTTAAATGCCGGTCCATAGTCAAAAGGCAGAAGGCAGGCAACCAGGCTCCTCCAATGCACAGTGGCGAGATTGGTCTCGTCACATGCACTATGTATTAATATGTACAAATTAGTGATGTTAGGCTTGATAAAGACTACTGTATTAGTCAAAATGTTGCCAATTGTGTGCTTTCTGCAATTCACTAAATATAACAAAACTGCACAATATTTGTATAGTGCTGTTCTATTTCTTCTTTGAATTCAGTTACTGGCACGGCTACAACGGAGATCTTTGCATTTCCCTGTTCCCGTGTCATCCATTTTTCACTGTATTTGGACATATAACAGTGAATGCACCTTCAGTCTTACATTGTCTTACAGAATTTGTTTCCAAACTGTACAAAGCCATTGGATCTTCTTTGGACCTGTGGCACATGTTAAACTAGTTTAGTTGGCACTGGTTCCTGCACTATAAAACATGTATTAGAATGCAAATGAGAAAATAATAAATGGGCCAGAGATTTGTGATTGTGTTCATCCCAGGGGCTGGCTTGCATTATCTTGTATTTACAATATTAAAATGGGTTCTAGGAAGTTTTCATATTTCTATTGCAAGTACTGAGAGAAGTGGGGAGTTTGTTTGCCTGTTCTGGGTAAGTGAGCATTTTAGATAAAGTTATAATCTGTGCAATATATTGGATAAAGGACGTGTGCGTTACGTGATCTTTGAAGACCTTATATATCACTTTATGAATCTGCACATTATCAGATGGGCTTCCAAAACTGTTTGTCAGCAGTTCCAGATCTTGTGCTAGACAGAATGTCTCCTTTTAATATTCTGCTAGCTCTTAATTCTAATTGCCAGCCAGCCCCTGGGTCTGTCATTCTCTTGCATACAGTTTTCTGCCTGTTCTTAATTTTGGGATGCATTCTTCATCATTATAGACTCTGCTTGTCTGGTATGTTGGTCCACTTATTGTGTTTTTTTAGTTTTTTTTTAGTTTTTTTTTTTTGTTTACTTGCTAGAACACTAACTGGTCTTGTATCTTGCTGCATGCTCTAAAAAGAATGATTGTGATGAAACTCCTCCCCAAAGAGAATCCTGCACGCAGTCTATGCACAAAATACAAACTTAAATTATTGTTGTTAAAATGCTAATGTTGCTCAAGACAGACCTGTTGGTGTGGGCAGCATGAATAGCTTAGTACCAAGGTTCCAAGTGGGTAACTTCATTCTGTATCTTGTCACTGAGGCCCTATCTAGATTACAATGATTCATATTAGGACCAATATTTTAAATGTTAACCACCATGGTCAAGTATAATTACTTGTAAACATAGAAATGCAGTGGGCCACGATTTACGTTTATAACTGGTGCCTAATTGCAGCGCTCTGATAGGTTCACGAGGCATACAAACAAGTTCAGTTCACAAGTTTAATTTAAACAAGCTTACAATCTCTAAAGTTATTTATTTACTTATTTATTTTTATCATAAGAGCAGAATGAAGTTTGATCTTCATTTTTTCCCCCCTGTTTTATTTTTTCTTCTTTTAGAAAAGGTGGGAGCTCTGTTTTTAAATGCAGAGTGGTCAGATCATGTTTCTCAGGTTATCCTGATTTGTTATACTCCGGCCCCAGTAATTATTGGTCACAAAAACTGGAGCATTTGAACAAGACTCCGCAGTGGGGGGTGGGGTTACAAAATAGTCTAGGTTGAAAAAAGACTCAAGCCCATCAAATTTAGCCTTGAATCTCATTCATTTATGCTGTAGATTGAAAAATGATACCGCAAAAAGGGGAAAAGAATCCTTTTTGAGTCCATACTGGCAATCTGATTTATCCCCAGTTCAACAACCTGTCCACATACATACAAAACTCAAGTGGTCCTTCTTTAATTTTTTTTTTTTTTTTTTTAATTATTTGTTTTAGATTGCGCTTTTTATCACATGGGGTAATTTCTTACTGAAATGAACATTAGTGTTGGTGACACCTCACTTTGTTCTTAAATTTCACACTATGAATACATTAAAAGTTTGGTGGGTGCTCTATATTTGTAAACAAGCAAAACGATTAGATTGTGCATCTATACAGGCGGAAATGCAATTTTTTCTTTTTTATACTTTGATGAAATTATGAATTATTAACCGATGTAGGCAGATACAGTGTTTCCTTAACACATCACTGTCATTGAATTTTTCATAAAAATATAATATTTCTGTAATGCTCACATAGATTGTGCTGGATTTTCTTTCCTGAAATTTCAGTGTATTCTAAAACTGTCAGAATACAAATTAGAGGTTACTTTGAATTACGAACGACTAGAATTTGTCAAAAGCTGGCTTTTCATACTGTTTCCGCCGGCCACATCTTACCTTCTCCCAGCACTTACCTGGCAACAGTTAATGAAAGCAGGCTTCTCCTTGTGAGATGCACAGTCGAAAGGCAGTAGATACCGGGGGCATCTTGTTGAACATGCTTGAGAACATCGTTAGAGGTTTTTGTTGCTTCCTGTTTTGTGCTCTCTGCTCATGGTGGAATCAGCAGCTAAGAGCTGACCTTGAAGAAGGAAGCTGTGAGTAGGTAATTATATCCCTTTTTTTTTTTTAAAACCTTCTTTCCCACCGGGTAGCACCATAAACGTAGACGTCACAAAAAAAAAGCCGAAACCCCGCTAGTTTCTTTCCTGTTTTAAAAAGCCCGGTATAGACTGGATAGTTAGGTTGGTGGGAATCTAATCATGTGAAACAGATCCTGGCCTCTTTTGTGCACCTACTGCCTGAACGAAGTGCAGATCACATGGAGCAAGATACAAAAGACCAGTTCCTGTCAAGTTATTGTAGGGATCCTGTTTATCTGCTTAACATGTTAATGTTGTTTCCCCTGGCAGGTCATTGATCCTGTAGCGCCAAGATACACTGCCTTGCTGAAGAGTGAAGTTGTACCAGTGAACATCCCAGAAGCTAAGGAAGGAAAGACCGAAGTAGCCAAACATCCCAAGGTCTTTATTGGTTTGAGTTTAATTATTGTGTTGTGACCATCTTTATGAACATCTGATTTTCTATTATGTTAATATAGCACCAATGTTATCCCAATCAATGTGAGCCTCTCAATTCTTTTGTGCACATGGTGTGTGCAACAAAATTGCTTTTTATTGTTATCCTATTTCAATATGTGCAGTTAATGAATTATGTAAGGGTAGTAGAATAGGGAAATGTTTTAAGTGAAGATGTAGTTAATTCTGTCCGTGGTATAAAACAGTGTCTGCCAACACAGTGGGAAGGGTGTTTTCAATGGATAATTATTTCCAAATTCTTTCATTGCAGAATGCTGAAGTTGGTACAAAGCCTATATGGTATGGCCCGAGAGTTCTGATTGAGGGAGCTGATGCAGACACTTTCTCGGAGGGTGAGATGGTCACCTTCATTAACTGGGGCAATATCAACATTGTTAAAATTAACCGGTAAGAAGAGAGCCTTCATCCTACCTCTGCAAGTGTATTCTTCTTGTCTGCTGATTAATCTCATCCCGGGCACAATGAAGATTTCATCTTAGTATAGATGTTATGGTGTTTGAAGGTCTCTGGTGCTGTCGTACCTAAAAGGGTTTTACCCCATACAGTTCTCTACGGCACCATACTCCTGGCTCCTCTGTCTTCTTCTCCGTCCCCAGTTTGAATGCAAAAGTCTTTCTATGGGTGCCAGTGATTGGCTGAGAATGACACTCTTGGCCTATCACTGGACTCCTATTGAGAAATGAAAAATTATTTGGAAAAGTTTTTACTTTTTTTTTTCCCATCTCTTTTTATTTCTCTCTCTCTTTTTTTTAATAGTAGTGCAAGGGGGGATACAGAAATAAAGGGTATAAGGAAAAAAGGTATCACATACCATCATATATATGGTTGTATAGAAGGGAAGAAGTCGGTATGCAGCACAGATAGATCAACCTAGCATTGATAGGTTATCAGGAGGAGGAAATGCCTTTGGAGATCAGCCTGGAAAGACATGCAGATTTAAAGGCTACCCACTTGGGGTGTGATATTATGGCCGTCTTCAATTTGCGCCCTTAACTAAGGGGATAATGGGGGAGGGGGATGTCTCTGGTGCGGAAACCCACACCATGATATAAGTGCAACGCCTCAGATGTTTGAGTGCCGGATCATGGACGTACATGCATAGGGCTCCGTGTGGGAGTGAAACAGGTAAGTATGAGCTGTAGGTGAGAGATTTCATCTTTAGTGCTGTCAGTAGATGGGTTCACCGGCCCTGATTCCCCGGTGCGCGTGTTGGGTTTGAGGTCGGTAGCGTACTTGGGGATAGGTAAGCCCAAAGACTTAAAGAAGGTGGGAGCTTCTGCAATCAAGGAGATCTTGTGTACAGTCCCACTGAGCGTGACTACCAGGAATCTGGGTGATCTCCACTCCCCGCTCTCAAGTGGCTGGTGACTGGCTTCAGGGATCTTCTCCACTGCAACGTGGATCTGGTGAGGTCCTGGTAGATTGTGATGTTCGATCTCTCAAAGGTGAGAGGCATTTTGTCTTGGAGCGCAGACATCACAAATATTTTATCCTGGGAGGTCGAGCAGCGCACGATCACATCACGGATCCTAGTGGAGGCTGCTTTACCGGATAAAGGTAAGCGATAGATCCCATCTAGGGTAAATTTATTTGTATGCGTCGGTAGTATTGTTGCTACTAGTTGCCTCATGTAGTGTGTGAGCTTGTCGGGTGTGATGGTGTCTGGCACCCCTCTAAACTTGAGGTGATTGCGCCGGGACATTTCATCCAGCGATATGTAATGGAGTGAGAGTGCTTGTTGTTGGGCCTGTATATGCATTACATAGTCGTGTAGGGATGCCATTCCCTGATTGATGTCTGCTATATCTTCCTCTGAAGTCTTCACCCTGTCTGTGACTGCTTGCACATCTGCCTTGAGAAGTGCCACGTCAGCTGCAGGGTAATCTTCCGCCACCCGTTCGAGGCCACGCAACAGTTCCGACCAATCTAGGCTTGGTGTGGGTCTGTAGGCCCCAGGTCGGCGTTTCTGTTTTTTCGTCTTAGCGGGCTGTACAAATGGCATATGTTGCTGCTGTGTGGTACACTCCATATAACGGTAGCCTGGTGTAGGGTGTTTGAGGATCTCGGACTTCATAAATCGGCTGTACACACGTCGTGGTACAAAATGGCGACTGCTCCGGATTGCGGTGAAGCTCCTCCCCCCAAGTTTTGCTTTTCTAAAACATTTTGTCAACAGGCGGCCAGCCTACGGTCTCAGATTGTCACTGGCATGCATCCTGACGTTGAAATTGGTGGCCAGAGGGAGAGGCAGAGTTGCTAAAATTGGTGTTGTTGAGAGCTCTTTGGGATTATACCGTTTGTAAATGGTTTAACCTACTAAGGTATGGTGCTTAGGACCTCCAGACACCATAACAACATATTTCATATGAAGTCATTATGGTGTCCTTAGTGCTCTCTGATCTCAGTCTTTATTATAACATATTGCTTCTGCCCCACTGATACAGGGACTCAAGTGGGAAAATCCTATCCCTTGATGCCAAATTGAATTTAGAAAACAAGGATTACAAGAAAACCACAAAGATCACGTGGCTCACTGAGACGTCTCAGGCTCCTTTCATCCCAACTACCTGTGTGACCTACGAACATCTTATTACCAAACCAGTGCTGGGGAAAGAGGAGGACTTTAAACAGTATGTCAACAGAAACAGCAAGGTAACTCTCGAACAAGATCCCTGGTTTTTGTTTTTTTGTTTTGTTTTACTGTTCTTGTGGTCCATAACCCTTCTGTCAAATAATTAGGTGGGTGCTAACTTTATTTTTACAATTTGTTATATTGAATTGTGTTTATAGGAATGAGACAACAATAATTTTTTTCATCTAAAGGATATTTTAGTTAAACTGTTTCTATGTTCGTATTGTACATACCTTAGCAGCCTCCCTCTCACTTTCTTTGGGCTACACCAGAGTAATTTTTGAGTTGCATGACATAGGACTTGAATGAGTGCTAATTTACACAAAGAGCAGAAGTAGTAGGGGTCAATATGGATGGAACAATTAAGAAATAAAGTTTCTGGTAATCATTATTTTTAAGAGGCACCATAATCACTGCATCCGCAGTGTTCGGGTGCAGAAAGTCTTTGGACCCCATTTCCCTTGTTAGTGTGAAAGCAGTTTTGAGGTTTGACAAATAGTCTAGTCTTCCTAAGCCCAGCCTCTCTGCTGCATTAGCCATCCAACGTTGGATGGTTTTACAGGCTGAGAGCACTGGATTAACATGCCCCCACTGTGCTTAGCGTATCATTGCCTACCAGAGTTGGACAGCTAGTGGGGATGGAGGTAGGCCTAAAGTGACTGAAGAGTCCTGACATCTTTTTTTTTTTTTTGGTCAAGCTAACACAAAAGTGGTTATGGTGCTTAGCCCAGGCTACTTTAATGTATTTTTTTCCCTCAAAAATTTAATCAGGTTTAGCACAATCCAAATACTGGAAATCTTTTAAAACATCACCTTCCACCAAACAGCTACTGTTGTGTTTCAACAGATACCAAGCATTGTCTTAGGGTAAAATGTAAATAATGTGGCAAAAAAAGAACAAGAGGTCCCACACAGGCTAAATGAAAGTGGGGTATCCGTTATATTTCACAAAACATGACTATGAGAAGCCAAGGTGGTTCTATGAGAAAACTTATATATTCATTTTATTTTTGCAAATGTTTTTTTTTTTTTAAATAAGATGATAAAATCCATTTTTTTCCCAAGATCTCTAAGCATTTGATTATTTTTTTGTTACGTTTATTTAATTTTTAATTTTTAATTTTTTTAAAATGATCTAGCTAGAAGAGCTGATGTTGGGTGACCCCTGCTTAAAGACTCTACAGAAAGGAGATATTATTCAACTGCAGAGACGAGGCTTCTACATTTGTGATGAGCCATATGAACCTATCAGGTATACAAGAACATTCTAAGGAGATTTGAATTGGGCTCTTCCAAGGTAGCAGTCAGGAATTCTTTAAAAATTACTTAAATAAGCATATATTTGGGTAAGATGTCTATATCTTTGGGTAAGATATCTTTTTGTTTTCCCAAATTATTTTAAGTATTGCCTCTTCTTTTCTATTTTTCTTTATATTATATTTATGGCTAAAATTGGAATTTGCCAGTAGTCCATTCATTTCCTTGTGACTTTAGATTGTAAGTTCACGGGCAGGGCCGTCTACCTGTTGTATCGGTCTGTTCTTCTTGTTTTTGTCTTTTTCCCAGTTGTACAGCGCTGCGGAATTTGTTGGCGCTTTATAAATGCCAGTAATAATAATACTAATAATGAGGAAGGAAATTTAGCTGGCAAATAAGTCCCCTCCCCCATATACCTAGACTTGTTTGTGCTTATTTGGTGTGTGAGCTTAGGCACATCGTTAACTGCTTGATTGCTTTTCAGCCCAAACAGTTGCAAGGAGGCCCCATGTGTGTTAATTTATATCCCAGATGGACACACCAAGGACATGCCAACATCTGGCTCCAAGGAAAAAAATAAGGAAACCAAGGAAAAAGCCAAAGCTGTGCCAGCAAAGAAAGAGGTGTGAGGTTTTTGTTTTACATTTTGTTTTAGTGGGTGCCTTCTTTAGTTAAAAATCTGGTATACATGTGCCATAAAATACATGGAAACTGTAAAAACAACACGTTAAGTTTAAAACATTAATTTTTTTTTTTAATTACAAGCATTGGCAGTCAACAGTATCTATTTTTGTGGCAGTAAAAAGCTTGAAATGAATTGTATGTCAAGGAAAGTATAAAGTTTATGCCAAGAAGTAGGAAAAAAACACGGTTATCTATAATAATGAAATCTATATAAAGCTTTAATGGAAATGGGTGAATGGTGCCTAAAAAAAAGTTTTTTTTTTTTTTGTTTGTTTTTTTTAAATATTGCGGGTCAAATACATACAAAGCTACCATTTTATTTACGTACAGTATTCTAAAATAAATCCCATGCATAATAGTGGGGCTTAACCTCCTTCAGGGACTTAAGAAAGTTGGACAAGGAAAGAAGATGGGGAATAAAGTGTAATGTTAAATTCTAAATCCAGCTGGTCCAGGTGTGTAATATAGCTGTGCAGATGTTGCCGTGTCTGGTATCAGGGAAATGGCAATACTGAACTGACATCAGATGTACTAGTGTACTGTGATACTTGTTTGCTAGAAAATCATGATCATAGCTGTATGTGTTGGAGGGGCAGAACGTCATAGCCTGAGCAACAACAACTTTCTTTTATTTTTTATAACATATAAGTACAGAAAATTAAAATACGGTATTCACATGATATACATGTAAGCAGCAATTGACGCTGATACAACCGGTAATGTCGAGAGAGACTGCATTTTTTTTTTTTTTTGGCTACACAAACATTCTTAAAGGGACACTATAGTCACCAGAACAACTACAGCTAATGTAGTTGTTCTGGTGAGTATAATCATTATATGCAGGCATTTTCATGCAAACACTGAGAAAGCATTGGATTGGCTAAAAATCGTCGATTTAAGGATGTCACCAAAGGGGCAGGGCTGGAAATAGGTGAGTTTTAATAACTTTTAAGGGGGAGGGGGTGGATTGGGGGAGGAGGGCAAGCCACATAAATGGTGGGTTAAACACTGTAGAGTCAGGAATACATGTTCGTGTTCCTTTAATGTTTCTAGGAAATCGTTTTCATATTAAGTGTTTATTTTAATAATAATTGGAATTGACTGTACATTTTGATTGTTGCTGTTTGTCAATGTGTGGCTAGGTGGTGCTAGCATCTAACTTGTTACTTCTTAATTCACACAGAGTAAATCTCAAGGTAAAGCAGTGGCAAATGTGGCACCTCTCCAATCACCCCCAGCAGCTGTGGATCCCCTTGCTCTGTACAACAAGGTCTCCTCTCAGGGGGATCTCGTACGAGATCTCAAAACAAAGAAGGCAGACAAGACTGAGGTAGATGTGGCCGTGAAGCTCCTTTTGTCCTTAAAAGCGGAATACAAACAGGTTACAGGGCAGGACTATAAACCAGGAAACGCACCAGCACAGAATCCCACTCCCAGCACCCCAGCACAGAATCCCACTCCCAGCACCCCAGCAAACGTTGGTGGGGAAGCCAAATGCATGTACGACAAAGTTTCAGAACAAGGGGAAGTAGTCCGAAAACTGAAGGCTGAGAAAGCATCAAAGGTAATACTGAGTTGTAAATAATGCAGAGTTAGTAGTAAGCAGTTGGCAGTCTTAACTCTCAAATATCAACACTTCATTCCTCAAAGAGACTTTTTTGAAGATTCTTATCTCTTAATAGTACTATAACAGTATTTTAGAAAATTGTACAGACAACTCTTTATTTAAGAAGTATTTATTTAATCCCTTAATGGACCACTATAGGCACCCAGACCACTTCAGCTCAATGAAGTGGTATGGGTGCCAGGTCCCTCTAGTTTTAACCCTGCAGCTGAAAACCTAGCAGTTTCTGAGAATTTTCCATTTTGGAGTAGAATCCTTACAGATAATTATGATGGCATAGTCAGTTTGAGCTAGCAATGCTTCCTTACACACACACACTTACCCACTTACTTACACTCTGTCCCTCTGAATTAACGTGTCTGTATTGCTGATCTGATCTCCTGTGATTTATTTTGGTGGATATAGTTCTGTGTCTGAATATTTAGTGTTTGCTCATAATATGGACATCCTGGAATTTTAAAAAATTTTTTTTTTTTTTTACTATGGGATCATTCCCCCTCTTTCTCTGAATAGTGTTCCTTGAACTGATTCTTCCATTAAAGAGATGGTATCTGTGGTGGGATCTGCTTGTTTCTCTCACCTAAACGTCTGTTTTCTTTCCTTTTTATCTTTTTTTTTTTTTCTCGCTGCGACTTGTGACTTTAGGATCAGGTAGATGCAGCTGTGAAGATGCTTCTAACATTAAAAGCAGAGTATAAGCAAGTAACTGGCCACGATTACAAACCAGGAAGCTCACCAGTCCCTTTTAATGCTAGCTCTCCACCTCCCACCATTCAGAAGTGCCCCCATGCTGCAGATATCACATATTTATACAACAAAGTAGCAGAACATGGAGAAACTGTCCGACAGCTTAAATCCACGAAAGCATCAAAGGTACGTTAGTCCTTGCCACTATCGCAAAGAGAAGGAAAAATGTTTATTTTGATATAGACATGTGCTCATTTGTCATTTACAACATAAATCGATTTTATGGTTTAATTATATGTATGGTATACTTGTATTATATAGTATAGTATACTTGTTACAGCCTATAATTAAGGGTTACATGGGTGGTCAGTTGGTACACTGTATGCAGCGAATTGGCAGAAAACAAAATCTATTTCTTACCTACCACTGGCTGCTTGGGAAAATATTCTACATCCTTAAACTTCATCAACAAAGAGCATTTGTGTGCCTATAGCTCTCACCTCTTCTGCTCCCACAATGTGTGACTCTTGAATCCCCTATCATATACCCTGTTTGTGTGCTAAAACAAGGCTCCTCCCTTTTGTTCCGAGTTAAAGCGATTGTACCCCCAGGGACGTATTAGCCGCGAGGCAAACAAGGCATTTGCCTTGGGCGGCATTTTTCAGGGGGCGGCAAAAAACGCCGCCCCCCAAATGCCCAGGGCAAATGCCTAGTTAGCCTTGCGGCTAACTGACATCCCGAGCGGGCGGCGCTGGCAGGCGGGCGGCTGGCGAGGGAGCACTTCCTGTGAGCTGACTGCTCAGTTCCCTCGCGCGACGCAGAGTGAGGCTGGGAGCCGGAAGATGACGTCATATTCCGGCTCCCAGCCTCAGTCTGCGGTGAGCGAGGGAGCTGAGCAGACAGCTCACAGGAAGAGCTCCCTCGCCAGCTGCCCGACTGCCAGCGCCGCCCGCCCGCTCTGCAGCCACTGGACCACCAGGGAGAGAGACCCCCCCCCAGCACTCCCAAAGGTAAGGAGGTTGGGGGGGGGATTTAAATTTAAAAAAAGTTAATGTGTGTGTGTGTCTGATGTGTGTGTGTGTGTGTCTGACTGTGTGTGTGTGACTGTGTGTGTGTGTGTGTGTGCGACTGTGTGTGTGTGTCTGACTGTGTGTGTGACTGTGTGTGTGTGTTTGTGTCTGACTGTGTTTGTGGGTTCGTGTCTGTGTATGTAAGGTCTGACTGTGTGTGTGGCTTGTGGTCTGACTGTGTGTGTGTCTGACTGTGTGTGTCTGACTGTGTGTGTGTCTGACTGTGCGTGTCCGACTGTGTGTGTTTGTGTCTGACTGTGTTTGTGTCTGACTGTGTTTGTGTATGTGTGTATGTGTCTGACTGTGTGTGTGTGTTTGCACTGGTGGGTGTGTGTGTTTGTGGCCTGACTTCAGGTCTGACTGTGTGTGTGTGTGTGTGAGTGTGTGTGTGTGAGTGTGTGCGTTCGACCGTGTGTGTTTGTGAGTGTGTGTGTGTGTTTGTGTCTGACTGTGTGTGTGTGTGTTTGTGTGTGTCTGTGTTTGTGAGTGTGTGTGTGTGTTTGTGTCTGACTGTGTGTGTGTTTGTGTCTGACTGTGTTTGTGAGTGTGTGTGTGTGTCTCTGTGTTTGAGTTTGTGTGTGTGTATGTGTCTGACTGTGTGTATGTGTCTGACTGTGTGTGTGTGTGTATGTGTCTGACTGTGTGTGTGTGTATTTAGAAGGTGGGGCGGGGGGAAGGGTTGGGTGGGGATGGCGCGGGGGGAGGGGGGCGCCTGAGTTTTGTCCTGCCTAGGGCAGCACAAAACCAAGATACACCACTGTGTACCCCTCTGTATCAGTTTGCAGTCACAAACCAGAAATATTGCCCTTGAATATTGCCATGAATGCAAGGGAGCAAAGATCTGAGCACGAGACTGTACAGGCTCCTGTCAACACCTGCACTTCCGAATATCGTAGACTGCCTTGTTTGGTGGTACACATCACTGGTTTTAGCTACTTAGCAGTAATAGTGGGAGGAACTGTACATGCATGTCCTAAGCTTTTTATATGCACTTGATATATGTTATCAAGTTAAAGTATCTGTGAACATTTATTTGTGCACATCACTAATGTTTCAAGTTGTTTTATAGTAATCTTAGTTTTGTTTTGGTTCTTGTAGTTATGAAAAAGAATATCTAGTACTAATTGGCGATACAGATTATTGGTAGCCTTTTTGTACCGATTGCCAATAACAAGTGCCAACATTTTGTACATTTAAAGTTTTGGAAATACAACACAATTTCTACATAAATCTGGCATTAACTGAAAATGCTGACAGCAACCACATTCCAACCACTCTCACGCAGTTAGTACATGCTGGGATTAAAGAGATCCCATTGTGTACAGTGTTACTGATAGGAATGTGATTGCAGATGGCAATGAAACTCCTATCACTCAGTCAACCAGCCCAGTACATTACAGCAGATTATTCACTGTCTCACCGCCCTGCCTTCAGCTGAGCTCCACATGCATGGACTCACATGGAGGGATAGTGTAAGTTAGCGAAGTTGCACCTCATTGGCTGGTGGCCAGAGTTTCCGAATGCTGGAGATAGCGTGCAGTGACTCAGAGAGGTGAGTAATTTAATTAATACAAGGCCGTTGCCGATTAAGGATAAAAATTCCAAATATCGACTATAATAATCGGCATATCTTTCATTCTTATACATTAAGTAGAGTATTTTATTTCAAATGTATTTCATTATTTTATTCTAGGAAGACTTACTACAGCAATGCTGCTAGTGATCTCAACTTTGCAACTGCACACAATACTATACTGTCAGCTACTTTACATCAGGGAGGCCCAATAGCTAGATCCCCAGATGTTTTTTTTTTCAATTTGACAATTTTTATTTTTCAAGTTCAAACTTGGGGTACAGAAGGAAAGAGGGGTGGGGGGATGAAGCACATTTGCACATTTCCTACTTTACGGTTTCAATGTTTGCCATCCTGTTCATTATTTCTAGCGAAAATGTAACTATATTCGAATTTGCCCACTTTGTCACGACAGGCCAGTTCTTTGTTCTGTTCCCTGTGTTGGTAAAAGTGGCTTTTTTTTTTTTTTTTCCCTCCTCTCTCTTTCTTTCTATATAGTTAACCATTTTACCTTTGTGATGCTTAGACATAAACAAGGGGGTAGGTGTGCAGGGTACAGAAAGGAATAAGGGAGGGGTAGGGGATTACGTATCTTCAGTTAACATGGCTTCACAGTACGTTCTATTGTTATGTATGCGGTTTACGCGACAAATTTGTATACCCATGGTGGTACATATCACGCTTGTCTGCATTGTGCTATCATCATATTCCAGTCCCTGAGTGGTGCTGGGGGTGCCGTGTCAGTTGTGGAAGTACGTAGATTACATGAAATACAATATAAACAATATAAACGTTAATATGAACTATATACATGGAACTTGTTCCACCTATACAAGTTTTTCTGTATGACTGATGCTCTGTTGCATTGGGTTTGGTCTAGGCATGTCATTTGGGTCTGGTGCCTTTCCCGTCAGTGTCTATTTCTCCGCATTGCTAAATGTATACATTTTTGAGTTTGTTTCCTTGTCTGTACCTTTTATTTGTTTAGTTTGTTACGGAGGGTCATGCGTTGCGTGTCTGCGTGTTATGTGGGTTGCTTGCTCGTAATTGAGCCACATATTGTAAGCCTCTGTGGTTGTGTGGTCCTCTTGCCCTAGTGACCCCGCATGTTTTTCATATGAGACGTTGGTGGATGTTAGGGCTATTATTTCTGTTTTTGTGGGAATCACTGACGATTTCCATTGTCTTGCTATTAATGTCTTTGCCGCTATCGTGATAAGGTAGACTAGTTTTCGAGCGGGTTTCGTGATATTTTGTGGTGATAGGTGTAATAGATATAATTCTATGCTGGGTTGGATCGATACCCCTGTGCTGTTTGTAACTATTTCTTCTACTGCTTCCCATACTGGACGTATGAGTGGACAAGTCCACCAGATATGTAATGTGTCCCCTTTCGCCTTTAGGCATCTCCAGCACTTGGCTTCGGAGTTGTTGTACATTTTATTTAATTTGCTAGGGGTGAGGTGCCACCTATAGAGTAGTTTTCTGGCTATTTCTAGGTGAGAGGCGCATCTTGTCGCGCTTTTGTGTGCTACGAAGGTTCTATCCCATTCCTGGGTTGTTAGTTCCCTCCCAATATCTGTATGCCATTCTTTTTGAAATCCCCAGAGGTGCGTTTGAGGGCTCCCATTAAGTATGTTATAGCATAGTGATATAGTTTTGTCTTGCTTTTTCCTTTCGAGGCATTTAGTTTCAAAGTGAGTTAGTTTTGGTTCACCAGTCACTGGTTGAGTGGGTGTATGTACAGTCCATAGCGTGTGGTGAAGTTGTATATATGAGAATAGGGCCCTGTTTGGTATATTATGGTGTGTTTGTAATTCTTTGAAGCTCCTCAGGGAGCCGCCTTGAGTCAGTTGGTGAAGGTGGGTTAGGTCGTGTTCAGCCCAAATTTTATAGTTGAACGAGGGGTCTAGGGTGTGCAGCGTTTTTAAGGGGGTTGCGGGGGACCACTTATGTCTCGAGCAGACCCTGTGCTTGTTTTTGTCCCAAATAGATAGCATGAGTTTGGTTGTCGGCAATATCTGGGGGGTGCGGGGTCGTATTTCCCTTGGGGCCCATATGAGGTGTGTTACTTGCCTCCCTTCTAATCTGCTGGATTCTAGTTCCAGCCATTGTGGGGGTTGTTCTCTGGAGTGGCACCGTAGCACATTTGCCAGTTGCGTGGCTCTGTGATATTCTCTTACGTCCGGGAATCCAAGTCCTCCCTCTCTTATTGACCGTGACAGGAGTCGCCATGCTACCCTGGGTTTTTTGTTTTGCCATCCAAATCTCAAAAGGGTCGTCTGGAGGTTTTTGAAATATTTGGCGGGGACAGGTATTTGTAATGTTCGGAATAGATAAAGAATTTTTGGCAGGATCATCATTTTGATAGCCGCGCATCTACCCACCCAAGATAGGTATTTGCCTTCCCATGACTTTAATGTATTTACAATTTCTGTGAAGAGTTTTTGGTAATTCATTGTGAAAAGTGAGTTATATGTTTTTGTGATTTTGATTCCCAAAAATGTGAGGTGGTCTTCTCTCCAGTCATAATGAAATGCCGTTTTGAGTCTGGTCATTATGTTGTCTTCTATGCCTATTCCCATTGCTTGGGTTTTAGTGGTGTTTAGCTTGTAGTATGAGTGTGCGCTATAGGATTGAAGTTCCTTTTGGAGATTTGGGAGGGAGATCAATGGTTGGGATAGCGTTAAAAGGACGTCGTCTGTGAATAGGTTGAGTTTGTACTCTCTTTCTCCTATATTTATGCCGTGTATGTTTGGGTTACGTCTAATGGCTTCCGCGAGGGGTTCCAGGGCTAACACGTAAAGAAGTGGTGACAGGGGACAACCCTGTCTAGTCCCATTTGTGATGTTGAATGGATCTGATCGGGAACCCGAGGATGTTACCGCGGCGTTCGGAGAGCTGTATAGGGCTTTGATTGCTGTCAGATAAGTGGGGGGAAAGTCAAATTTTTTCAGAGTAGCCTCTAGGAATTGCCAATTCAGTCTGTCGAATGCTTTTTCTGCGTCTAGGGAGATTATGAGACCTTGGGACCGGTCCATGTGTATCGACTGTATTATATCTATTACCTTTCGTGTATTGTCTGAGCCTTGCCTCCCGTGAACAAAGCCCACTTGGTCATTTGAGATAAGGTCAGGGAGGATGTTTTTGAGTCGGTTAGCTAAAATTTTTGCGTACAGTTTGGTGTCTGAGTTTAGTAATGATATGGGGCGGAAATTTTGGCAGTGTGTCGGGGGTTTACCTGGTTTCGGTAGGGTAATTATTCTAGCTGCTAGGAACTCCGCTGGGAAGCTTCCTGTCTGAAGAGCATGGTTGAAAGCCCTGTTGAGATGTGGGGCCAGAAGTGGAGCGAATTTCTTATAGTACTCGTTCGTAAAGCCATCCGGCCCTGGTGCTTTTCCTAGGGGCATGGATGTTATGCATTCTACGATTTCGTTTTCTGTAATGGGAGCTTCCAAAAGTTGTTGCTGGGTTGTGGATAGGGTTGGTAGCGGGATGTTTGATAAGTAGGCTTGTATGCCAGCCTCCGTGGGTTGCGGCGTGGTCTGATCATTGGAGAGGTTATATAATTGGCTGTAATATTGGGCAAATTCTTTACAAATGCCTGAGGGGAGGTGGATTTTTTGGCCCTTTTTATTTAAGATATGTGCTATCCGTGTTTGTTGCTGTCTCTCTCTTAAGTGTTGTGCTACAAGCTTACTGGCTCTGTTACCTTGGACGTATGTGCGAGTGTTTAGGCGCTTCAGCATGAGGCCGAATTTGTGGAGTCTAATCTCATTGAGTTTGTTTTGGAGTGTATTGATTTGCGTTTTGTGCTCTGCTGATGGTTGCTTTTGATTATCTTTGTGAAGCACTGCCAGTTTTTGTTCGCATTGCATAATTTCTATTTTTGATCGTTTCTTTAGATATGTGGCTCTACTTATTAATGTGCCCCTAAGTACAGTCTTATGTGCAAGCCAGGTCATGTGGGGGTTCAGGTCGTTTGAGGCGTTAGTGGTAAAGTAGTTATGCAGTTCTTTTTCTAGGGTTTTGCAGAATTGTGGATCTCTAATTAGATAGTCATTAAGACGCCATGGGTTTCTATGTTTGTAGTCATAGGAGCTCGACAATGATAGTGTCACTGGTGCATGATCTGACCAGTCAGCGGTCAAAATTTCGCAGTCTAAGATGTTGGTCATTGTGGATTCGTGCATGAAGCACCCGTCAATTCTAGAGTATGTATTGTGTACTTTGGAGTGGTGCGTGTAGGCTTTTTCCGAAGGGTGGAGGGCTCTCCACACGTCTCTCAGACCATATGTGGCTAGCAAATTCCTAAGGCTTTTGCCTTGTTTTTTCATGGTTTTGTAGTGAGGCGACGTGGGCGGTCTAGTTGAGTCTAATGTGGGGTCCAACACATGGTTTATATCCCCGCTTATGACTAGAGTGCCTTTCCTAATTTTTTCAATTTTAGAGAGGACTGCATGCAAAAAATTTCTTTGGTTGGTGTTTGGTACATATATATTCGCCAGTGTGTATTCTGTTTCGTTGATGGTGCAGTGCCATATGATGTATCTCCCCCCCTGGTCTATTAATTGGTTGTGTGATATGATCGTGAGGTCTTTGCTGAAGAGAATTGACACGCCTCGAGATTTTCTCGGGGTGGTGGAATGTGCTTGGTGGGGGTACATGTTAGGACTTATGTGGGGGTGAGCATCGGTTCTAAAATGTGTTTCCTGGAGAAATACTATGTCGGCTTGCTTTTTTTTAAGTTCCCTGCTCAGAGTGTGACGCTTTTGTGGGATATTTAATCCCTGTACATTGTGGGAGTATAGTTTTAGACTGAATGTGTGTGGGAATTGGATGTGCTGTTTCGGTCTTCACTGTCTCGTGTGTTGGCTAGCGGTGGGTCGCCGCTCTTGTTCTGAGAAGAGTGGCCGGGGGTGTTTTTCGTTGTACGTAGGTGTGGCGGGTGACCCGTGATCGGTTCTATGAGGCGGATATAGTGTACTAGTGGAATGTTGACCCTGCCTTTGTGTGAATTGCATACAGACATAGATGATGTGATTTGTCTTTGAGCATAGGTGAATCGAAAACATTTAACATATTTACAATAACATAAACATAACAATTTTTGAGATCTGGCTCTTGTGCCCTGGTCGTCCATCAGGGCACAGTTTATCCCGCTAGTTCCTCCTACTAGCTCTCCCTATCTGGGGGGTTGGGAAGTCCGGTTCTGGCCTCCTGGCCGAGCCAGTGGTCGCTGCCCCAGGCCAGCGGCTTTAATCTAGGCTACCTTGGGGATGTGTTTTGAGGGTTGTCTGACTCACAGGGAGTGTTGGTAGGAGCAGAGGGATTTTGCCATCAATCCTGTGTTCTTGATTTGGAGATGGGCATGTGGGTTTTTAACGTGGAGGTTTGGCATTATCACTTATCTAGGGGGGGCTGTGGGCGTTGGAGTGGGATGTTGGTTTGGCAGAGAGGCAACAGCTTGCTCCCCCGTTTCCCTCTTTTAGTCCATGTTACTGGTATCTCTATACTTTGCTTGTCTCACGTCCCCTAGGGGGCGGGAGTAGCAGTGGCCCCTACGTGGTTTCCCAACTGTTGGCTCGCTATGCGGGAAGGATGGTGCGCGTGGTTTAGGTAGCATTTTTAGGGTCCAATAGTCTATACTGTCTAAGGAGCTCCTGCCCTCGCTTGGTTTTATGGCCCTATTGTCTTCTGACCCTGACCTGGTGCTGCTCCTGGGGCACCGCCCCACCACCCTCCATGTCTCCCCGCTTGAGCCCTTGATCCCACTTCTTATTTTGGCTATGTTAGGTAGGTGGGGTAATTAGTGGGTATGTTTTCAGGGGGGGGCTACAGGGTCGGAGACCCTCTCGCGTGGGTCGTATCCTGCTGTCTAGACGGGGTCCCCGCCCCATGGTGGTTAACTTTCCCCTCCTGTTGCCCCTTCACTCACAGTTCCTCTCCCCCCTCCCAAGTCCCCCTCCCCCTGTTCCCTACATATATGAAATAATGATCCGTAGTGTTAACACAAAAACAATTGTAGCGAGTATATTACCCTCTCCCGTCGTGTTTCCCTTGGTCGACGGTGAACAATGTCCCAAAGTCCCTGAAAAAGATTAGCAGTGTCCATGGTGTATTTTGCGTTGGTACTGTCCGCATGGATGTCATCCGTCATCCCCTGGTTTCCGTCACTGTGTTGCGGTGTGTTTCGGCGTTTTGGAGTGTTTCACCGTCTGCCACTCTTGGTGCAATGTCGGTCGTTTGTTTGGTTTGTCCCTGTTTGTAGCTAGAGTGATGCCCCAAGAGCGCAGCAGTCGTGTTCCTTCTTCTGCGGTTGAGGCAATTTGGGTCTTGCCGTCTCGTAGGATCAATAGCTTGATTGGGAATCCCCAGCGGTACGGGATTTTCCTGTTCCTGAGTTCAGCTGTGACGTCCTTGAAAGTTTTCCTGCGTCTAAGTGTTTCGGCCGAAAGGTCTGCGTATATCTGGACCTCTTTATATCTGTCTGGGAGATCTTGTAGAGGTTTCTTGGAGCGCAGGAGGGATTCTTTTACGTGATAGTAGTGTAGTCTGAGCATCACGTCCCTCGGTATTGAGGCTGGCAGATGTTGTGGCTTTGCCACCCTGTGCGCCCTATCCATGAGTAGCATGTCAATTGGGAGGTCAGGAGCCAAAATATGGAACAGGTCTGTGAGGTATGTCATGAGATCTGCAGCCTGTACGTCTTCAGGTATACCTCTCACCCGGAGATTTTGGCGCCTGGATCTATCCTCAAGGTCCATGTTTTTTACTTCTTGCTTCTCAAGCTTTGCCTCCAGCTCCTCAATTTTTTCTGCCATGCTGTTGTGTGCTTCGGCATATTCCGCCATCTTGCTTTCCATGTGGGCTGTACGGTTTCCTATGTCGGCAATATCTTTCTTTAGGTCCGCTATTGCTGCATGGACTGTTGTTTGTATTTTTGCAGCCATGTCATCTAACATTGTCTGGAACAGCTCACTGTGTATTTGCATGGTGCTGGGTGCAGGCTGTTGTGGGGAATGTGGCTAGGGAGTTTCCTGTTCATCCCCACTGCCGTCGCCATCTTGTCCCGTCTGAGCCTGTGACTTGTGGCTTGCCGTTTTCGCGGCGAAAAACGAGTGCTTTTCTTTGGCGTCGGTCACCCTCCTTGCTCCCCTCTGTGACATTGTGGCAGTACCTCACTCTGGGGAGTGTTTGTGCCGGTAGGATGCTGATTGTGCCGCTGTATTTAGCCGTCGGCTCGGGAGCTCTCCACTCACGCGGCCATTCCGTTCGAGCGCAGGCTCCGCCCCCCGATCCCCAGATGTTTTTGAACTACAAGTTCGATAATGCTGGGCCATTCTAAATTGCTGTAGTTCTACAACATCTAGGGATCCTTTCCATCACTGTGCTTTATGTCTTTGCAACTTTCTTGACTTCTTTCTGCTCTGTTTCCTTCCTTTCTTCTTTTTGTCCCCTTTCTGTAGGATGAAATAGAGGCTGCAGTGAAAACACTTTTAAGCCTTAAAGCAGAGTACAAGAAAATCACTGGCCAGGAATATAAGCCCAGCTACCCTCCATTACCCCAGCCTCAGTGTAAATCCATTGCAGGTTCTCCCTCCTCTAGTGACACACGGCTCAGTTCATCAGACCATAATAGTCTGTATAACAAAGTAGCTGAACAAGGGGAGCTTGTCCGCAAGCTTAAATCTGAGAAAGCTAGTAAGGTAAAGGGGCTTGGTTGTGTCTGCTTTAAATTGTGAGGTCACGTACATACATGTCTTTTTTGTTTTTGGTGGGGAGGAGGGTGAACGGGAGAGGTTGGTTCTGTAAAATAAATGGGAGATGCTTTTGTATTTAATTACGTATGCTACCGATGAAATAATTTCATGATTTTCTTTAGGACAAAGTTGAAGAAGCTGTGAAGCTATTGCTCTCTCTCAAAGCCCAGTACAAGGAGGCAACTGGAGTTGAATACAAACCAGGGCAGCCCCCAACTCCCACAGGCGCTGCTGTAAATAACCCACCAAAAACTCAGGCAAATGGATCAAATACATTAGAAGCAGAAGAACTCTTTAACAAGGTTTCTAAACAGGGAGACGAAGTCCGAAAACTGAAAACAGAGAAGGCACCAAAAGTGAGAAATTAAAAATCTTCACCAGGTTAATTAAAGAATAGAGACAAAGTTGTGAAAGTGTTTCCCACATACTAAGTTCTGCTGTTAACCAGAATTTGAGATTTTTGAAGACTTATAATGCAATATCGATTTCATTTTATTTTTTATTTATTCTGTCCCTGTGGAGAAACCTTCCAACTTTGCTTTTCTTGGCTTAATTTTTTTTGAACTTTTTTTCTTTTTAAAGGAAAGCATAGTAAGTAACCCCATAATAATAATTTTACTCCTGTTTTTGAAAAACACATTTTCAGAGTAAGAGCAAATTGTATTAATTGTATGAACTGCTGAAGGCAATATATGCTGTGATTATTTCCTATTCTCCATTCATTTTCTTTTATGGTGTCCATATGCCTCACTTTAAGATGTTGGTCTGCAACTGGTTTGAACCATTGTTTTGTGTCCTCTGTGAGCACAGGATAAAGTTGATGCCGCAGTAAAGCAACTTCTGGATTTGAAGACCCAGTACAAAGCTCTTACTGGAACAGACTACAAGCCGGTATCTGCTGCTGGCTCCGAGGACAAGAAGCAGAAAGAAAAGGAGAACAAGTCTGAGAAACAGGCCAAGCAACCAAAGCAGGGTGAGGGACATAAGAAGAAGGAATCCAACAAAGAACAAGGGAATGGCTCATCAGGTAGTGGAGCAGGCGAAGGACAAGGTCCGAAGAAACAAACCAGGTAGATTTTGGATTTTTCACACTTTGTAATTGTGACAATCCTTATCCTGCTTGAACATTAAACCTTGTTTTGTTGGTTAAGATTTAGTTACAGTTTATAAGTGTAAATACCCATGTGGTATGTCGTTGAGTGGCTCACAATTGTGATTTTAAAACTGATATGACTGGACACTCTGCATGAAATGTCTTTCTGCTGTGATAGAGGTTTTACAAATGCCTTTTAAGGGCCTTGTTATTATTGATTAGCGACCTATGGACATTTGGGGAGCACAGATCTAGTATCCCTTCCCTCTCCTAATCTCCATACTAACTTTAAAACCAGCAACGATAAATAATTGTAGTGAATGTTATTTAATGCACATTTTCAACAGATTTAAAGAGCTTTAGAAATAGGGATGCTGGTACGTTAACATATACTTATAATCCTAAATATAAATAAATCCATTATCAATGTGCATAGATTGGACATTTCCCCTGTATGTTGTGTGTGCAAAGCATTGGAAAAGCTTTATTCCTATTTAAACTACTGATATGGCTGCTCCAGGCAGATGCTTGGTTGGGGGGAGGGGGTTCTGTGTCATTTGAAGCTAATCCATGTACATAGTGTGTATAATCTATAGCATAATGTGTGTATTATTTGTATATGCCCACCTCTTGCTGAACTTGCCATCCATGTGGGATTGCTTTAAGCCATACATATAATGGCAGTGTAACACACATCTCATGCATACATTGAATTTAAGCGAACAGTTGCATCAGATATCTACATGGCACAAATACGAAGTATAACTTTAAAATATTGTCGCTGAATTAAATGTCTCGTGTATGAGAACACGGAGTGTGTTAGAAAGCGTTACATTGCAGTTCCAAATTATTTTATTTTTATTTTGTTTAGGCTAGGACTGGAGGCAAAAAAAGAAGAAAATCTTGCAGACTGGTATTCACAGGTATAGTCCTAATTCCTCTGTTTGTTAAAGGGACACACTAAGCCAGGTGACTACTGCAATTTGTTAAATGGGTTATAGTGCACGGAGTGTGTATTTTTTTTTTGGTGTGCAGTCCATTAAACAGTTTGACAAATACTGGAGGAGTCCCGGGTACTCTGTTTGCTGTGTTGACAAATTTTACGTGTTTTTTTTTTGCCCATCCAAATGTACATTGAATTCCATCTTGTGAAAAATGCGGCTAACCCTTTTTTTAGCACATCGCCAGTGTGCAAAGCAGAGAAACACTTTTGATGTGGTGACACTAAGGTTATTGCACATCATCAGCAGGGTACAATGATTTTGACTATACTTGGGTATATTATAATAAAAAACACTAGCAAGAAGGATAATCCTTAACTTTTGGGAAGAAATTAGGTGAAGTTCTTGAACCATATTTGATTATGGGTAGGGTAGGGTTGTGATAATCTTGAGTAAATGAAGACATGTTTACTGATTAATTTTTTTTAAACAGGTGATCACAAAAGCAGAGTTGATTGAATATTATGATGTCAGCGGCTGTTACATCCTGCGCCCGTGGGCCTTTGCTATTTGGGACGCCATCAAAGAGTTCTTTGACCGTGAGATTAAGAAGATTGGAGTGGAGAACTGCTACTTTCCCATGTTTGTATCGCAGGCTGCACTTGAAAGAGAAAAGACCCACATAGCTGATTTTGCCCCAGAGGTAAAACCATTATTTATTTTTAATACTAATGACTGTAGCTGTCATCACAGAATACTCTGCATGCATTACACACAGTGATGGAACCGTGTTAATGGAGAATGCCTGTTGGTGCATTCATAAAGTACTGAATAGACATTGAAATAAACATCAGATCAGGATATTGTTTAGTCTGTATATTTCATGTTGATTTCGCTAGCACAGCACATTTATTAACCGATCACTTAATAAAATGCTCCTTTACAAGATTACATGACTCCCTTGTGTAAAATAACAATAATAATCTTTAATAAAACAATTAAAGGGACTCTATAGTCACCTGAACAACTTAAGCTTAATGAAGCAGTTTTGGTGTATAGAACATGTCCCTGCAGCCTCACTGCTCAATCCTCTGCCATTTAGGAGTTAAATCCCTTTGTTTGTGAACCCTAGTCACACCTCCCTGCATGTGACTTGCACAACCTTCCATAAACACTTCCACTTTTTTTTTTTATGCAGGCTCTGTCAATCATAGCCAGGGGAGGTGTGGCTAGGGCTGCATAAACAGAAACAAAGTGATTTAACTCCTAAATGACAGTGAATTGAGCAGTGAAATTGCAGGGGAATGATCTATACACTAAAACTGCTTTATTTAGCTAAAGTAATTTAGGTGACTATAGTGTTCCTTAAAACTTTCCTGTAAACAGACACCTGGACAGACTTGTCTCTACATCCATATTTCCCCCTTCCCATGGTGAAATATTCAAGCTTGATGATTTGTGTCCATTAAAATGAGAAGCATTGCAGACATACTCTGCATGGGTTGCAATCCGCCAATCCAGAGCCTTTTTCATAGAAGCATTAGATGCACTCCCAGTGTCTTGTGTCAGCATACTTTGCATGCTGCCGCCAAAGTAAAATATATTCAGTTTCAACAGCAAGGCTGTTTTTTTTTGTTTTTTTTTAACGGCATCTGTGTCAGAAAATCACTTCATGCTAATTTTTGTGGTTGGATAGTCCCTTTAAAGGGACACTATAGTCACAAAAACTAATTTAGATGAATGAAGCAGTTTTTGTGTATAGGTTATGCCCTTGCAGTTTCACTAAATCACTTTTGTTTCCGTTTATGCAGCCCGAGCCACACCTTCCCACAGCTTGCATGAAAACAAAAATCGGTTTTATTTTCAATGTGATATTACAAGTTTTTATCTCCTACTCAATAAACTGAACTTTAATCACACACAGGAGGTTCCTGCAGAAATTCTAAATGAAACAGACTGTGCAATATAGGATGTCTAGACTTTAGATCTCATTTTACAGGAAGATTTTAAGGAAGGCTGTGCACATTACATGCAGGGAGGTGTGGCTTGGACATCATAAACAAAGTGATCTAACTCCTAATTAGCAGTGAGACTGAAGGGGCATGATCTATACACTAAAACTGCTTTATTAAGCTAAAGTTTTTGTGACTATAGTATCCCATTAACTTATTTTACATACTTGAAAAGAACATGGTCATCCACAGGCCTCTTAAACATAATTTACAGACTTGTAATTGTCTTTTTGGGCTATTTTGCAATATAAATTCTGCCTACTGACTGTATAATTTTATTTATTTATAAAATATTTTACCAGGATGGATACATTGAGATTTCTCTCGTTTTCAAGTATGTCCTGGGTCTTTGTCCACAAAACATTGCATTGTTACAATAGGATGCAATGTAACAAAAACACAATATACAAAAAATACACTTATAATGCCAGTTACACTCACTTCAATTGTTTTTCGTGATTAAACGGTTTGTTTCAGTTGAGTGCTGATATTTAAAATCAAATCATCTAAAGTGGAGAAAGCAAGCAAAGTGGCAATACATAATCATTTAAAAAATATATATATAAATTTTAAAGAAACACTCCACCATTGGCTGAGAGCGATCAGCTGCTTACTATAAAGCTTCGCTCAGGCAGAGCGCTTCCTACTCTGTTTGCAATATAGTAGGAATAGGACAGGTTGTGAACAATAATGCTGGAAAAAATTTTCTAAACCCGTACATGGCATTTTGACATAAGCAGACATCTGGATAGTCTGTGCCTAAAATTACACCAGTGATGCCAAACTTATGCCAGAAGTACCGTTTAAATGGCAGCACTGGCATGTACCATCTCTTCCATGGGAACATTGAACATTTGCTCTTTTTATTGCGATAGGTCGCTTGGGTTACGAGATCTGGAAAGACCGAGCTGGCTGAGCCAATTGCTGTACGGCCAACAAGTGAAACAGGTATGGATGGCCAGAAGCCTCATGTGAACAAAAATCAAATCCACTGCTTCCCCTCATTTGGATGCTACAATAAAAGGTCCCCAATGAGAGAAGCAAATAAGTCTCAAAAACGTGTCTGTATATTCTCTTGGGGGTGCACAAAAGGGAAACCCTAATAAATGCAAAATATAGCAGTACAACAAAATGTTGCACTCCGCCATTGGAAAGAAATATGGAAAACGGAAGTAACATTAAAGCCATCTTATCTTATCATGTTGTTTCAGTAAAAAAAAAAAAAGCATTGAGCAAAATTTGCAAATGAATAGTGAAAATCATCAAACTAAACATAGGGAAGGGGAGAGATGCACTACACGAGTTCTGTTTTGTTTCAGGCTGCAGTATGTCTTTAGCTTTCACCTAACTATGGAAGTTTTTTGTATTCTAGTTCTGAGAAAACTTTGTAAAGACAATCAGAATGCCGGACTAATATCACATGGCTGTTTGTTTATTCTTCTGCATCTCTGTTTAAGGGATTCCATTCATTCTTACAGTTTTATGCCCAAGAGTTGTTGTCACAGCTATAAATATTCTACTTATTAAATCCTCCTCCTTGTTTACACAATATATTTTTTCCCTACAGTAATGTATCCTGCTTATGCAAAATGGGTGCAGTCGCACAGAGACCTGCCAATCAAACTTAACCAGTGGTGTAATGTTGTGGTACGTACTTTGGTTTATATTATGTCCCCAAAATAATGCCTGGAAATGTACACTCTTTTCACCACAAACCGTTATTTTCCTTGATTTACTTGCTTTCTTATCCCAAGCATTGTGGGATTGTTCCCCAGGTGTCATTCACAGCACAAAAAACCTGTTCTGGATAATAGCACTCACATCTTGGTATTGACTTCCCATGATTCCTTGTGCTTTATGTGCAATGTGTTTGAAATAGTGTTATAAACTTTACTTGGTTTGATAGGTTATGTCTTCCTTTGGAGAGTCTTGTTTAATTTACGCTTTGTTTTAATGTTATATTTTAGAGGTGGGAGTTTAAGCATCCACAGCCGTTTCTCCGCACACGTGAATTCCTTTGGCAAGAAGGACATACAGCGTTTGCTACTTATGAGGAAGCAGCAGAAGAGGTAAGTAAATTTAGCTTTCTTCTCATGCAAAATAAATAGTACATTAATGTTCAAGAACCCTCTAGATGGAGCCCTTTCATACTTATTTGCCTTATGCCAGCCAAGTGTCGTCCTTTTACTCTCATAGTTCACCCTTGATTTCTGCACGAATCTGTCACATAAACCAAGTTTTGCATGACCTCTTTAAGACGAAGTTGCTTTTTTTATTAAGTTTGATATTTCTATTTTGTGGGAGTTGTTAAATAAATAGCTCCTTTCTGTTCTCTTAAAGGGGCACAACCTAAAACACTTTAGTTTGCCAAAATGCTTTGTGTGTGAAGAATGTGTACTTTAATTATTTTTTTTTCATTTTACAAAAAGTCCCAATTTCAATAGAACTTGGCACTTTTATAAATCTAGCCTTGTTACACACCCTTGACTTTCCAACAAACAAGAAGTCCTGTTGCTTCCTGATTTGGTTAGCTCAATGGAACTAAACTCAAGAGACAGCAATTGCTCAGAGCACAGCAATTTGAACGCAGGGTTTTGGGAAGTTACAGGGTCAAATATAGCATGTTACACTTTTCAGTTTTTTCACATTGAAATTCGCCAGTTTGGTTATGTTGCCTTTGAGACTGTATGGTAGCCCAGGAATGAGAATTACCCCCATGATGGCATACCATTTGCAATAGTAGACAGCCCAAGGTATTGCAAATTGGGTATGTCCAGTCTTTTTAGTAGCCACTCGGATGCCCATGATCTGCATGCTTGGCTGACATCATCAGAAGGGTTGCTCAATACAATCACAATGCTTCCCCATTGGAAAGCAGTGGCTTGGCTAAGCTTGTCTAGGAGGCAGATCAGGGGCAGAGCCAGCACAAGCAAAACAGAGCCTTGGCCAATCATCCTCTCCTCCTAGAAATGCATTGAATCAAGGCATATCTATGAGGAAAGTTCAGTGGAGGCACTGAATGTCAGTCACATTGTGCAGCACTGTCCCAGGAAGCACCTCTAGTAGCCATCTGAAGAGTGACCAGTGCAGGAATCCCTAAGCTGTATTGTAAACATTGCATTTTTTTCTGGAAAAAAACAGTTTACTGCAAAAAACCTGAAGGTATTGATTATGCTCACCACAACAAATACAATAAGCTGTAGTTGTTCTGGTGACTATAGTGTCCCCTTATGTCCAAATCAGATCTTTCCCCATGCTGCTTCTGTACACATGCATCGTCCACAGGTCAAGAGTGTAGAATGGCTCCTGTTTGCTTATTCTAATACCAGCTTATTAGCTTATAGATCTCATAATAACTGATAAGTAGAACTGCAGTTGGGGCAAAGTTTTTATGCCTCCAAACAAGGAAGTCCAGCATAAACAAGGTCCCCAAACAAGGAAATCTAGCATAATATTGTTCTTCACTGAACAGCGTTGGAAGTCTTCCCAGGTGCATCTTGTTCCTGGTCTGGGATTTTCTGCTGCAGCACATGTCGTTTAAGGAATTAAACTGTATTTGCAAAAATCCCCAGATCTTTGACTGACACCCCTTTAAACCTGCCATCTCCCACCATTATTACACTTCTTGTGGTAATAGAGGGTTTTGTATTCAGGACGACCAAGTTTTATAGTAGCGTTGTGGGGAATTCCGAATTTGCTGTGAGTTGTTGCATCTCTTACATCTGTCAGTATATTGTGTAGTTCTACCTGAGAGGGCGGTGTCTGCTTGTTCCAATGTCGGGCCAATGCTCTTCTGTCCACCAGTGCCACTGTAGCTATCAGCTTGTTTTCATTTCTTTGTAGGCCTTCCTCCAACACCCTGTTTGATGTTGTGACTTGCATTTGATGTAGGCGTACCGGTGTAAGGTACCATCTGAAGAGGTTTTTGTATCCCTGCTCTTTATGGGGTGACACATAGGAAGATTCGATTTGTAGGCAGTCCCTATGTACTAGGATAGCTACTACATTTCTCTTCCGACTATTGGAAGTGATTTGGGTATGTGCCGTATTAGAGGGTGTTGCGGGATGAGAAATGTGTTTCCTGGATAAGTGCTATGTCAGTATGCGTTCGTTAGAGGTTGTTGAAGCATTGCCTTTTCTTTGGAGTATTTAAATCAAGGATAAAAAGGTAAAAGGAAGTTGTGTAATTTAGCTGGGTGCAAAGCCATGTGGTAGAGAGTTCATGAACTCAGCCAAGCAATGCATTGCCGCGGGTTACTATGGCAATTGCTGTGACACTTAAAGTATCTGAGTTTGTGCGATCGCTACCACATGGTCTGCAGCTCTGCACCCGGCCAAGCTGTATGCTGGATTGCTAGCCCTCCGGACCACTAGACCACCTGAAAATTTATTATTTAGGAGCGAGAAAAGATGACGTTTCACAGTGGGCAGGCTGGTCACTAAAACACAGCCTCTTCATAGTGTAACCCCCCATATACATACACTGTCACCACACACACTTCACCCTCACTAGAGATAGAGCAATGGCACTGGCAGGCTTTTTGGAGGCACATTATTCATTGTCATGATATACACATTTTATAAATTTACAGCGATTTGGAATGTTATCCAGGATGTGTGCATTTTGTGTTCATTGGCATGATATACCAGGTTTATGCATTTATTGCTCATTGGCATTATATATATCAAGTTTATGGATTTGTTGTTTATTGGCACGATATCACGTTAATGCATTTACTGCTCATTGGCTTGATATACAAGGTTTATTCATTTAATGCATTAATAGCATTCCTTTGCTGGAAAATCCTTCTGAACTAATTTTACTAAATGCTTGCCTGGTTGGGGAGATCTCCCTTATTTATTAATGATGTCCAAGTGTCAAGTGGGCAGTGAAATTGCTCCCCAGGCTGCTCTCTGACCACTTTTCATCTAAATTCCCAAGTTCATAGCACTTTAATTCTTTCAATTTAATTATCTTGTATGTTTATCAACACATCTATTTTGTTTATGTACTTATGTCTATTGCTGATTTGGGTTGGCAAAAAAGGCCACTAAAAATGTTTGGCCTCTGCTCACTCCCCATGTTTGACTGTGCTGATGTGCATGCATGACTGCATGGGGGGGTGGGAGATAGCATTTGAATTGGAAGCGTATGAAAAGTCGGAACTGGTTACTAAACTGTTTGAATCAAACTACTGTGGAAAGGTCTATCAGTTTGCTCAATGTGAGTAGATTACAAAAGACGTATAGCATCTCAAACACAAACTTGTATGTACACATAAACACTTAGCCCTTAAATGTAAGGTTAGCGACATGAAATATACTTGTGTTGATCTAACATTTATCAAAACGTTTAGAAACATTTCCCCTTTAACATTGTATTGTATTGTAATCTGGGGATCTGAGCTATTTAGTTTGGTTATCTGTTAGGGTTGAGACTAGAAGTAACTAATTAGGGCCTTGCTTAGGCTCTTTGGGTTTGGTGACTACCTCTTATGGGAGGGTTACGTCTGTGTATTCTATGTGGTACAGGGGAGTTTTAGCCTGGAATGTTGAGTTAAATCAAATTAAGATATTAAGGTATGATAAGCAAGTTTATCTTGGTAGAAATTGTATAACAGTAGTTCATTTTTGGTTCCATTTTTTAGTTTTTTGGTTTATGGTTTCTATTGTTCGTGGAATAGCAGTAGGTGAGCATCTTTAAAGACTGGGTTCTTGCGCCTTGCTGCTGCCATAATCTTTTGCTTCATGCATAACAGAGGGAATCTGATGACATCTCAGGGTAGGGAGTCACAGCTTGTCGTGGTGCTCTATGGGCCCTGAAGTCTTCTTTGGTGAGGTCTGGCGCTATGGCTGAGAATATTTTGTGTAGGACAGGGCATAATGCATCCAGGGAGACCCTTTCTGGTAGGCCGTGTAAGCAAACGTTGTGTAGTGTCAATGCACTCTAGGCCAGTGCTTCGATGTCTTATCTGATTTTATTGATTTGAAAGATTAGTTCCTCAAAACACATCTGCACTTTGTTGAACAGTTGATCCAGGTCCTCATTTGTAGAGCTCTTTAAATTGAAGTTTAGAATAATTGGGTAAAAATATGAATCAATCATTAAATTTTTCCTTTTGTCTTTCCAGGTCTTGCAGATACTGGATTTCTATGCCCGTGTCTATGAAGATCTCTTGGCTATCCCTGTAGTAAGAGGAAAAAAGACAGAGAAAGAAAAATTTGCAGGAGGGGATTACACAACAACAGTGGAAGCATTCATATCTGCCAGCGGCCGAGCCATTCAGGTGTGTATCAAGCTGACCGCAGAAGTACTTTGTCCAACTCTGTCTCTCCAAATTGTGTCATTCTTCTAAACTATGGAAAGGAAAACCAGCAATAGGTGCTCAAAGGGGCACTCAATGCACCATAAACACAACAGCACATTTTAGTGCTTATGCTACTGCAAGTCATAATGAACTTCTCTGTTTTTTTTTTTTGTCAAATTAGGGACATAGCTCAAACCTATTCAGCTGCACTGATAATGTAAATGCAGCACTTCTGCATTATCAGATGTAATTCTAATTGACCGCAATGAGAGAGCTAGAGGCACGTTAGCCCAGCTATCTTGCCCTAACATTGTCATCATGTTTTATGGATTTGCAGCTGATGATGTGGAAGTGTTTCTTTTTTTAAATTTATTTTTCATGCAACTGAGGCGTGCGTAGTTTGTGGGCATGGGTGTAGGAACCCCCACAAATCATTTTTACTCGCTGGCCACCGGGTATATTCTTATTCTGTAAACTGGGAGTTGTTTATAACGTTAAAGTAAGTTTGTGTGTGTACAGATTGCAGCTGGGCAGGGGTGTTGTTGATTGGCTAGAGAGGTCACCTGATGCTCTAAGCGAGGATTACCCAAACTCCGGCCCTCCAGATGTTGCTGACCTACAACTCCCATGATTCTATGAATGAAATAGATAGGCTGAGAATCATGGGAGTTGTAGTTCAGCAATATCTGGAAGGCCAGAGTTTGGGGAAGCCTTCGTCTAAGCCAATCAGTAATTCTTTGCCATACCCAACCTGCGGCGCAATTACACAGCGGCGCTCTGACCTTTCTGAAACTCCGTTTCAGAAGCTGAATCCTGCTGGGGGACCTAAAGATCTAGGATAGGTTTTAACTCATTAAGTTAATAGAGCGCCCGGGGGCCTACTGGCACAGCAACAACTTCATTTAGGTTACGTTGTTATGGTGAACAGTGAATACATTGATAGTTTTGTTTTTATTTTACCTGGGATTATGAGTCTGCCTGTCAGGTACCAAAGCCTCAGCCCAGTGTCAAGGATGAAGTGGAGGGATCACTTGTCGTCCACGTTGTCCTTTCTGTTCCAATCTCCTTTTCTTTGCCTCCTTCTGACACGGTCTTCTTCTGCTCTCCCCTCTTTTCCTTTTGCTTTCCATTCCTTTTCTTTTGCTCTCCTCCTGCTTTCCATTCCTTTTCTTTTGCTCTCCTTCTGCTTTCCCCTCCTTTTCTTTTGCTCTCCTTCTGCTTTTCCCTCCTTTTCTTTTGCCCTCCTTCTGCTTTTCCCTCCTTTTCTTTTGCCCTCATTCTGCTTTTCCCTTTTCTTTTGCTCTCCTTCTGCGTTTCCCTTTTCTTTTGCCCTCCTTCTGCTTCCCCTCCTTTTCTTTTGCTCTCCTGCTTCCCCTCCTTTTCTTTTGGTCTCCCCTCCTTTTCTTTTGCTCTCCCCTCCTTTTCTTTTGCTCTCCCCTCCTTTTCTTTTGCTCTCCCCTCCTTTTCTTTTGCTCTCCCCTCCTTTTCTTTTGCCCTCCTGCTTACCCCTCCTTTTCTTTTGCCCTCCTGCTTACCCCTCCTTTTCTTTTGCTCTCCTGCTTTCCCCTCCTTTTCTTTTGGTTTCCCCTCCTTTTCTTTTGCGTCCTCTCCTTTTCTTTTGCTCTCCTACTGCTTTCCCCTCCTTTTCTTTTGCTCTTCTTCTGCTTTCCCCTCCTTTCATTATTCCTTTTGCTCTGCTCTTGCTACCTATCCTTCAGTTAGTCTCCTTGTTTCTTTTTCTTCTCTTCTTCTAGGAATGCAGGGGGGGTTAGGTCACGCAGTGACGTCATCGGCGTCACAGCGTGCGCCACAATTGGCTGGTAATCTATACTATCCGCTACCGCATAGCGACAAGACTGCGGATTGGCCGATTGCTAGAAGGTTGAGTGCAGGAGGAGGAGACTCACTCCAGCATGGATGGAACCTCTGTGAGGGGGTATTAGTATCGCCGGCGCGACGGTAATGCAGAAGCCAATGGTTTGCGGTGGCTATTTGAAGTTAAGCTAAAGCTACAGTGGGGAAAGTGATGGAAACCATGTTAAAGGATAGGATTGATGAACATCTAAAAACACATGGATTTCAAGATCAGAGACAACATGGGTTTACTTCAGGGAGATCATGCCAAACTAATCTTATTGATTTTTTTGATTGGGTAACTAAAATTATAGATCAGGGTGGTGCAGTAGACATTGCTTACCTAGATTTCAGTAAGGCTTTTGACACTGTTGCACATAGAAGGCTTATCAATAAAATGCAATCTTTAAGTTTGGATTCCAATATTGTTGAATGGGTAAGGCAGTGGCTGGGTGACAGGCAACAGAGGGTTGTAGTTAATGGAATATATTCGAAGCTTGGACTTGTCACCAGTGGGGTACCTCAGGGATCTGTACTTGGACCCATTCTCTCTAATATTTTTATTAGTGATATTGCAGAAGGTCTTGATGGTAAGGTATGTCTTTTTGCTGATGATACTAAGATCTGTAACAGGGTTGATGTTCCAGGAGGGATAAGCCAAATGACAAATGATTTAGCTAAACTAGAAAAATGGTCAGAATTGTGGCAACTGACATTTAATGTGGATAAGTGCAAGATAATGCATCTTGGACGTAAAAACCGAAGGGCAGAGTACAGAATATTTGATAGAGTCCTAACCTCAACATCTGAGGAAAGGGATTTGGGGTGATTATTTCTGATGACTTAAAGGTAGGCAGACAATGTAATAGAGCAGCAGGAAATGCTAGCAGAATGCTTGGTTGTATAGGGAGAGGTATTAGCAGTAGAAAGAGGGAAGTGCTCATGCCATTGTACAGAACACTGGTGAGACCTCACTTGGAGTATTGTACACAGTACTGGAGACCGTATCTTCAGAAGGATATTGATACCTTAGAGAGGTTCAGAGAAGGGCTACTAAACTGGTTCATGGATTGCGGGATAAAACTTACCAGGAAAGGTTAAAGGATCTTAACATGTATAGCTTGGAGGAAAGACGAGACAGGGGGGATATGATAGAAACATTTAAATATATAAAGGGAATCAACACAGTAAAGGAGGAGACTATATTTAAAAGAAGAAAAACTACCACAACAAGAGGACATAGTCTTAAATTAGAGGGGCAAAGGTTTAAAAAATAATATCAGGAAGTATTACTTTACTGAGAGGGTAGTGGATGCATGGAATAGCCTTCCAGCTGAAGTGGTAGAGGTTAACACAGTAAAGGAGTTTAAGCATGCGTGGGATAGGCATAAGGCTATCCTAACTATAAGATAAGACTAGGGACTAATGAAAGTATTTAGAAAATTGGGCAGACTAGATGGGCCGAATGGTTCTTATCTGCCGTCACATTCTATGTTTCTATGTTTCTATGTCATGAGTACAAATTTCACTTATGAACCGCTCCATTGCAGCAGTAAGGGCTACCCAGCTCTCTCTTGGTCTTAAAAATCAAGGAGTTTCAAAGTTTTAGAATTCTCAAAAACAGCTATATTGAATTATAGAATGTGTTATCAAAGCTATATACTTTAATTTCTTAATTTAGACATTAAATATCTGTCCCATGGGGCTAACAAATGGTTCTCTGTCAAAGGCGAATGATCACCACCCTCTTTTTATATTCTGTGTACTCATCCCTGTATATTACCCTTTAAAGACGGAGGCAGTTGCTCAAATTCTAGGTTTTGTTTCAGAACTTGGACGACATGATTGTTCAACCATAATTTACCTCTTTCATATTAAGTGCACCCAGACTTATTATAGATCATTTTATTCAGTACAAATACTAGAAGAAACACTAGTTTATAACATTTTGTGACACTCGAATAGTGATATCTCTGCTTCCGACCAAAATGAGGGAAGAGAGAGGTAGGATACAGTGTCACAGCCCATGGTACAAGTCACTGACTGTGATAATTTATCAGTGATCACAGTGACAGGTTGCAAACTAAATGTATGCATTCTATCTTCTTTATTTTGCAATAAAACAAACATATCCTGTTTTTATCACTCGGCTTTGTTTGCAATGTTTGCCCTGGCTTTGCCTTTTCTAAGCTAGATCATGATGACATTGCACGGTAAAGGGCTATGGTGATTTTTAGTGTTTAATTCAGTGCTGTTAATTACATAGAAGGCACAGATCCTCTTTAAATTGCTACATAAACTGGCTTACCCAGTATATTAAAGATACAAAGTTTTTAGAGGGTGATTTTTTTATTATTTTTTTTTATAACATTTTTTTATTTAATGGCTTCTAAATTTTTTGACTTGATTTTCTGAACTTTTGTTTTTAGGGGGCAACATCACATCATCTTGGCCAGAACTTTTCTAAAATGTTTGAAATTGTGTTTGAAGACCCCAAAACTCCTGGAGTTAAACAGTATGCCTATCAGAACTCCTGGGGTATTACAACTAGGACAATTGGAGTGATGACCATGATCCATGGAGACAATATGGGCCTGGTATTACCACCTCGTGTAGCCTGTGTCCAGGTATGTATTGATCTTCTTATCAGAGGCTGAAGTACCAATTCTAATAAAATGACTAGCTGATGTAGGTGTGAAAATACATGGTGACTCCTGGACATGCTGGCTTGTGTGCACTTAGACCTTCACCTTGGAATTTTCCTTACGGACATTTAGTTTTGAAAAATTGGGAACTTTATAGATGAGAAACAAGAGGGAGACTAAAGATGTTTGGGAAGCTGAGAGAAAGGGCAACAAACATATCCATGATTTGTTTTCCTTCAGTAGTATTCAGTAGCTGTTGGAGCGTTTTACCATACAGAAATCTTTCTAGTGCAGTATTTAGGGGATGTATTCAATGGTTATGTGACAGATTCCTTTAACACTTAGTTGGAGCACTTTTTGAACAAGCAACGTATAAAAATACTCCTTTTTCCAACTCTCCATACAATTGTTTTTATAGCATTTCAGTTTGAAATAGCAATTAATATAATCTGGTAGATGAGTGTGCTTGAGGAGACATGCAAGGTTTTTTAATAAAATAAAGTTTTTGGGCAATCCGTAGACTAAGCCAGCCAGCCAGGGGGCTAATACGTCCACAGACCATATAGTGCCTGATTGATCAGTCTATTCATCTATTGTAAAGATAGTTTATATTGTATAAAGATTGTTTATGGTAGATCAACATCCTTTTCAGTGTAAATGCTGTCATTTATCTTACTGGGTTATTTTGTTGTCGCTCAAGACTGGACACTTACAGGCCCTCCATTTCGAACCGTTCTTTCATGTTAGAACTTACAAAAGCAGGCTTTAAAATAAACCGAGTGGAAGGGTAGCTTCTGTCTAGCATCATGAACCGTTTATTATTCAATGGTAAATGTAGAGTTCTTGACTGTGTTTGCAGGTGATTATAATACCATGTGGAATTACAAACACTCTCTCCGAGGAAGACAGAGATGCCCTCGTAAAGAAATGCAACGAGTATCTGAAGCGCCTTTTAAATGTGGACGTCCGGGCGAGAGCTGACCTCCGGGACAACTATTCACCTGGCTGGAAGTTCAATCACTGGGAGCTCAAGGTTATTAACTTGAATTTATTGAGCAGAGTTCATTCTTTTTCTGTCACGCGTTGGTCCCATATCATGATACGGTTACAGGAATGTTGAATTATAGCATTATGCTGATACGTTTATTTTTTATTATTGCAGGTTATTGCAGTTTCCTCATCCGGTTATAATTGGCTGTAAAAGGAATATTATAAAAAACAAAAATTTTTAAAATAACCTCTTACTGTACTTTATATGTGACTGATTAATGTGTTTTAAGCTCATATTGGTTAACCATTGGTCTTAGAAGAGATAACTTATCGCAACTATGTTTTTTATTAAATAAATCGTCTGTACAGTTTAGCTGCTGGTAAACATACTGTGTTTTTATATGTATATATTTTATTGTAAATAAGGGAAAGGGCATAAAAATACCAGACTGTTAAAGAAGTTTGAAAACATAAAAAATTGCTTTAACATAGTACTTTTCACTGTTTATATAAGAGACAAGTAAACATTTATAGCTTCTTCTCTGCACTCCCGTTGATGGAGAGAATTGCCCACCTGTAAACTGTGATGGCAGATATGCACGTATATGGAAATGGCATATTAAAGCAGCACTGTCACCACCCACGAAAAATTTGTATTTCATAAAAACAGAATATTTTCTACGCCTGACACTTCTAGACACTGAGCGAAGCTACCGCCGTCTTGGAGTGTCAGTCCCCCAGCACTCACCAGTGAAGGCTTCAGGGATTTTGCTCTGTTTCTGGAGGATCCCACAGTCTTGTGGTATCCTCCGTAAACCTCAGTGCTGTACTCTTGCGCATGCTTGACTACAGCAGTGACAGCGGAAGTGCTAGGACCTGAAGAGTACTAGCAGAGGAAGATAGGTGCTAGGATCTGAAGAGTACTAGCCAGAGGAAGATAGCCATGTTTAGGTTATGTACACCTTTTCCTGCCCTCTCATCCCAAAGTACCTCCAGTGGTCATGTCCACAGACGGGAACAGTGCCATTTTAAAGAAACACTAGCATTAGGAATACAAATGTGTATTCCTATTTCTATAGTGACCTAGGTTTCTGGCCCCCTGTATGAAGGAAAAAAAAAAGTTTAACTTTTCTCCCACACTGCTTCCTTGAAGACTTCAGCCAATCCAATGCTTTCCTAAGGGAGGCTAGTGCACATGTGCGGCAAAATGCCACGCTGCGTCAATCAGATGATCTCTTTGATAACACTCAGAACGACAGGCGGATGCGTATTAGGGACTTTAACTTGTGGCTTGGTGAATGGTGTCGGGAGCAAGGGTTTGGCTTTATTTCTCATGGTAGCTCTATTTGGAATGGAAATAAACTGTACAAAAAAGATTGTTTGCATCTTTCTCAAAAGGGAACAAATGTTCTCAGTGAGCAGTTCAGAGGTTTTGCTAGGATGTATTTAAACAAGGGGGGATGACGACAAAAGGGTGATAAAACATCAATCCAATTGTCCCCCCAAAACAAGGACAGAAGGTGTCTGTAGCAAGTGTGTTAAAAAATGATAAGCTTAGAGTCATGTCTACAAATACAAAAGGGAAATGGATCAGCGCTGCGTGATATACTAGGAGGTTAGAAACAAGTATGCTCGCAGTTTAGGGAATAAGATCCGTGAACTTGTGGCAATAATGGCAACTGATAGTGTAGATTTAGTCGCTGTTACTGAGACATGGTATAATGAGAAAAATGACTGGGACATAGCAATATCAGGGTACTCTTTATATATAAAAGACAGGGAAGGCAAGAAAGGGGGAGGGGTGGCCCTGTATGTGAAGGATAGCATAAAATCTAGCCTAATAAAAGTTAGTGAGGCGAACATCACGTTTGGGTTAAGTTAGAATTTGGTAATCACACAGTAACTCGTGTAGGTGTGATTTATAGGCCCCCAAGACAAATTGAAGAGTTAGATAATCTACTAGCTGAGGAAATAGCTAAAATGACTATGAAGGGGGAAGTTATTATCATGGGTGACTTTAATCTTCCTGATGTGAATTGGAAAACAAAAATAGCTGCTTGTGCCAGGAGCACACATATTCTAAACTCCCTACGGGGATTGTCTCTAAAACAAGTCGTTGAGGAGCCAACTCGTAAAGAGGCCATACTAGATTTAGTGTTAACAAATGGAGATTTGGTATCAGATATTACTGTAGGTGAACGTTTAGGATCCAGTGATCATCAGTCAGTGTGGTTTAATATAAGAACAGTGACTGAGTCACACCACTCAAAAACAAAAGTTTTAGACTTTAGAAAAACAGACTTTTCTAAAATTAGAATATGTGTAAAGGAGTGATTATCAGACTGGATCAATTTAAATGGAGTCCAAGAGAAAGTGGATTATTTAAAAGTTGCACTACTGAAGGCAACAGAAAATTGCATTAGGCTTGTCAGTAAAAGCAAAAAATTCAAGAAACCACTGTGGTACTCCGCAGATGTGGCCAAAATAGTAAAAAAACAAAAAGTTAGCATTTAGTAATTATAAAAAAACCCAGAGTGAAGAAGACAAAATGATCTATAAGATTAGGCAGAAAGAGGCTAAGCAAGTTATAAGAGCTTCCAAATCACACACAGAAGAGAAAATAGCACAGTCAGTAAAAAAGGGGGACAAAACATTTTTTAGATACATAAATGAGAAAAGAAAAGTAAAACAAGGATTAGTTAGATTAAAAACAAAAGAAGGAAGGTATGTAGAAGAGGATAAAGGTCTAGCTGACTGCCTCAATGAATATTTTTGTTCGGTATTTACAGATGAAAATGAAGGAAAGGGACATCAGTTAAGAAAAAGGATAGATGAGTCATTTATTACATGTGAGTTTACAGAGGAAGAGGTTCTATTTCAACCGTCAAAAGTAAAGACAAGTCAATGGGACCGGACTGAATACACTCAAAGCTATTAAAAGAGCTTAGTGGTGTACTAGCAAAACTATTAACATATTTATTTAACCAATCATTGTTAACAGGAGTAGTCCCAGAAGATTGGAAGTTAGAGAATGTTGTGCCCATTTACAAGAAAAGTAATAGGGAGGAGTCGGGCAACTATAGGTCAGTAAGCCTTACTTCAGTAGTGGGGAAAGTGATGGAAACCATGTTAAAGGATAGATAGGATTGTTGAACATCTAAAAACACATAGATTTCAAGATCAGAGACAACATGGGTTTACTTCAGGGAGATCATGCCAAACTAATCTTATTGATTTTTTTTGATTGGGTAACTAAAATTATAGATCAGGTTGGTGCAGTAGACATTGCTTACCTAGATTTCAGTAAGGCTTTTGACACTGTTGCACATAGAAGGCTTATCAATAAACGTCAATCTTTAAGTTTGGATTCCAATATTGTTGAAAGGGTAAGGCAGTGGCTGAGTGACAGGCAGCAGAGGATTGTAGTCAATGGAGTATATTTGAAGCTTGGGCTTGTCACCAGTGGGGTACCTCATGGATCTGCACTTGGACTCATTCTCTTTAATATTTTTATTAGTGATATTGCAGAAGGTCTTGATGGTAAGGTATGTCTTTTTGCTGATGATACTAAGATATGTAACAGGGTTGATGTTCCAGGAGTGACAAGCCAAATGGCAAATGATTAAGGTAAACTAGAAAAATGGTCAGAGTTGTGGCAACTGATATTTAATGTGAATAAGTGCAAGATAATGCATCTTGGACATAAAAACCCAAGGGCAGAGTACAGAATATTTGATAGAGTTCTAACCTCAACATCTGAGGAAAGGGATTTAGGGGTGATTATTTCTGATGACTTAAAGGTAGGCAGACAATGTAATAGAGCAGCAGGAAATGCTAGCAGAATGCTTGGTTGTATAGGGAGAGGTATTAGCAGTAGAAAGAGGGAAGTGCTCATGCCATTGTACAGAACACTGGTGAGACCTCACTTGGAGTATTGTACACAGTACTGGAGACCGTATCTTCAGAAGGATATTGATACCTTAGAGAGGGTTCAGAGAAGGGCTACTAAACTGGTTCATGGATTGCAGGATAAAACTTACCAGGAAAGGTTAAAGGATCTTAACATGTATAGCTTGGAGGAAAGACGAGACAGGGGGGATATGATAGAAACATTTAAATATATAAAGGGAATCAACACAGTAAAGGAGGAGACTATATTTAAAAGAAGAAAAACTACCACAACAAGAGGACATAGTCTTAAATTAGAGGGACAAAGGTTTAAAAATAATATCAGGAAGTATTACTTTACTGAGAGGGTAGTGGATGCATGGAATAGCCTTCCAGCTGAAGTGGTAGAGGTTAACACAGTAAAGGAGTTTAAGCATGCGTGGGATAGGCATAAGGCTATCCTAACTATAAGATAAGGCCAGGGACTAATGAAAGTACTTAGAAAATTGGGCAGACTAGATGGGCCGAGTGGTTCTTATCTGCCGTCACATTCTATGTTTCACAATTAATGAAAGGATCAGATTACCTAAATCTCCAAAAATGTGTTTAATTTGGGACAAATTAAACCACCCCTCCAACAAATATACTTTGGTACTCTGAGCTACTTACTGCTCAAGAACATGGACATATAACAAGGAAGTTAGACCGCTTCATGTGTAATGGTGTTCACAGCTAGCAGGGATTTCGCTGTTGGCAAATTCTATATTCTATTCTGTAGTGGCCATGCTGCTTGGAAGGTCCGTTTTAAAGGGAAAGGGGAAATAAAACACAAAGTTTTATGGGAATGAAGTTGTTGAACATAAAATATCTAGTTTTCTCTCTAGGTAAACATCCTCTGTTTTTCAAGTTTCATTGACTGGTTTTCAGAGTTAGCGATTGAACTCTTTAGGTTCTATGAACTTTTCTCCTTTTCGAAATAATCCTCTACTTATGTTGTAAAGAAAAGCCATAAAACAATAGACCAGAAACTTTAAATTAACAGTTAGCCTTTGCTACGCAGTTATACTGTATAATGACTGCCATCAACAACAAGACTATAAAGAGAAGAAACATTTTGCTGACACACAGGTTGGCCTAGCTGTGTTTTCAGATATCGCTACAAATCATGATTGAAATGCTTACCATTATATCCTGCAATTTACCAAGTTCCTTGCTATTTCCCCTGTCTTGATTATGATATGGCACCCCTCTCCCCCCTTCCTTGCTTGTTTTAAAAAAAATTTTTAAAAAATTATTGTAGTTCTTTCACCCTAAACATGTTTAATCTTTCACAGGGGGTTCCAATAAGACTAGAAGTAGGACCAAGAGACATGAAAAACCACCAATTTGTAGCCGTCCGACGTGACACTGGAGACAAACTCACAATCCCAGAGGACCAGGCAGAAAAGAAGCTAAAGGACATCTTAGAAGATATCCACTTTAGTCTGTACAACAGGTTGGATTGCTAATCATTCAAATTTTATTTTCTTAAAATGTTTGTTATATGGAGAACAATTGGTATCAGCCACTGGAGTGTTCCTTTAAGAATCACTAGGCCTGTAGTGGTTAAAGTGCCATGGCACTACTGGCACCCTTGCATTATATATAGTCAAATCGTTTTTTAAAACCACTTTGCTTCTTACCTCGGCTCGAAAATGGTTTGAATACTTTCAAAGGGGAGACATGCGGGGCTCTCCGTAGGGTTTATGGTTTCAGATTGTTTTTAACATGGCTTTGCACTGATATCCTGTATTGGTTATTCTGCTAATGTAGATTTTTTCTTCATCTCTGTGTAGAGGTGCGGATAAGCCCATGTCTAATGCTATGAAGGATTGTACTTTGATTGGTTTTGGTAGCTATGCTGACTCCATCCTGGCACATTCTAGTACTTAGATCTTCTGCTACATTATTGTTATTATTAACGGCTCCCTCTGAGGGTACTGGGAAGTAGGAGGTTGCCAGCTCCACTGAGGGTACTAATACGGAGGCTGTAACTAGCTCCCCCAAGCTTACTGGGAAGTAGGCTGTTAGCAGCTCCCCCGAGGGTACTGGGAAGTAGGCTGTTAGCAGCTCCCCCGAGGGTACTGGGAAGTAGGCTGTTAGCAGCTCCCCCGAGGTTACTGGGAAGTAGGCTGTTAGCAGCTCACCCGAGGTTACTGGGAAGTAGGCTGTTAGCAGCTCCCCTGAGGTTACTGGGAAGTAGGCTGTTAGCAGCTCCCCCGAGGGTACTGGGAAGTAGGCTGTTAGCAGCTCCCCCGAGGTTACTGGGAAGTAGGCTGTTAGCAGCTCCCCCGAGGGTACTGGGAAGTAGGCTGTTAGCAGCTCCCCCGAGGGTACTGGGAAGTAGGCTGTTAGCAGCTCCCCCGAGGGTACTGGGAAGTAGGCTGTTAGCAGCTCCCCCGAGGGTACTGGGAAGTAGGCTGTTAGCAGCTCCCCCGAGGGTACTGGGAAGTAGGCTGTTAGCAGCTCCCCCGAGGGTACTGGGAAGTAGGCTGTTAGCAGCTCCCCCGAGGGTACTGGGAAGTAGGCTGTTAGCAGCTCCCCCGAGGGTACTGGGAAGTAGGCTGTTAGCAGCTTCCCTACTGAGGGTACTGGGAAGTAGGCTGTTAGCAGCTTCCCTGAGGGTACTGGGAAGTAGGCTGTTAGCAAGGGTACTGGGAAGTAGGCTGTTAGCCCCCTGAGGGTACTGGGAAGTAGGCTGTTAGAAGCTCCCCGAGGGTACTGGGAAGTAGACTGTTACCAGTTCCCCTGAGGGTACTGGGAATGAGGCTGTTACCAAGAGTACTGGGAAGTAGACTTTTGCCAGCTCCCCTGAGAAGGCTGTTGGCAGAAAGCTGCTTACTGCTGCAGATCTACTTAATACTGTTTCTCATATCATTTTCAGAGCGCTCAATGACCTAACAAGTCACATGGTTACAGCTGACACTATGGAAGAATTTCAGAAGCAATTGGACTCAGGAAAAGTAAGTTTTGTTTTATTTGTCCTTTGCTGCACCATCTATTTTTCTTGCTAAATGTCTATTCTCAATTAATAAACAGTTACTCCTAGCATTATGGATACAGCCTGCTGCAGTGTATATGATGCCAAGACTAACCTCTCCTGGTTCCCCAGTAATGTGGCAAACCATTTAGTTTTGCCCTCTTACCTTACCCCTGTAAGGTTTGTAAGCGATCTATCCTCCTGGGTAATGCTGTATTGACCTCTGCAGAGCTGCACACAGACTATCCCAAATGTTCAGTTATGCTGATAGTTGAGATTCTAAAGATTAACTATATGTGAAATCATATGTAAGTTGGAAAAAACAGACTGATTTCCTGGAGACATGCCTGGCTCCATTTTGTGAAGCCATACTAACTTTCTTTAGGCTGTAAGGTTGTTTTAGTGGGACCCGCTTGATGTGGCAGGAGGACAATTGTTTTGGGCCCTCATAGAGCCATCTATTTTGTCCTGACACACAACTATTCACCCATTTACAAACAATAATGTGCCCACTCACCAGCAGCTGCATTAGTGGTTCTGGTCTTGGGGTTAGAATGCAACCAACCCCCTTCTCTTTACACAAAGACTTTACCACCAGTGTATGATGCTATTTTTGTAACTTTCCACCCCCTCACACACACTTTCTTTTTTGTCTTTTAACCATTCTGTGTTCACAGATTGCAGCACAAGTTTATCAGTCATTCAAATCAGAAAAACTAATAGAGAAAATGTAATGCATATTAAAGGACCACTATAGGCACCCAGGCCACTTCAGCTTAATGAGGTGGTCTGGGTGCCTGGTCCAGCTTGGGTTAACCCTTTTTTCTATAAACATAGCAGTTTCAGAGAAACTGCCATGTTTATATTAGGGTTAATCCAGCCTCTAGTGGCTGTTTAATTGACAGCCGCAAGATGCGCTTCCTCGCTTCTCACTGTGAAAATCACAGTGAGAAGACACCAGCGTCCATAGGAAAGCATTGTGAATGCTTTCCTATGGACTGGCTGAATGCGCGCGTGGCTCCTGACGCGCATTCAGCCGAAGAGGAGGAGGAGAGTTCCCCGCCCGACGCTGGAGAAAGAGGTAAGTTTAACCCTTTCCTCCCCCCAGAGCCCGGCGGGAGTTGGACCCTGAGGGTGGGGGCACCCTCAGGGCACTATAGTGCCAGGAAAAAAAAATGTTTTCCTGGCACTATAGTGGTCCTTTAAGCTCTCACCTTTTCTTAGCATCCTTTTATCATTGTTAGAGAATGTACTAATGTAAGCTAACAAGTGAATTTAAATATCATGAGTCTCTCCTTTTGAATCGGTGCCATTATTTATTGATGGGTCACTGGGTTTATCAAAGTCTGGTGTTAAAAGTACATCTATAGTACTGTGTGCCAACATAAAGCTGTGTTATCAACAGACATTGTATATTTAATTGTATTGGCGTTGGCATCATAAATTCTGCAGTAACTGGATTGTCAACTGACACTTTTGCCTAAGATTTGCCAGCACCAAGATCTAGTCACGCAGTTAACCTTGTAGGGATGTAATAAAAGGCTATCCCAAAGGTCAATATTTGACATTTCAAAGATGCAGATTGGAAAAAGCCAAGCACAATTCTCAATATCCATTTCTCCTCCAGGGTAAAGTGCCCGGCTCCCTTTTTGTGTAAAAGGGTAAAAAAATTGATTAGAAAGCATAGAACTGCTATTAAGTGGTGATTGTTCTATAGGGAAACAGGGGTAAGGAAATGTAAAAAAAAAGGCCAAGGTCAAATACTGCCAATCAGATTGTCCTGACAAACACAAATTGACCCATACACGCTTCCATCTCACCAGCAGCTGCCTCAGTGGATACACTTTTGGGGTTGGGGCCTGTTCCATTCATTACCCACAGAGCCTTGACCGCTGAAATACAGTGTCCTTATGTATCCGGGAGGATCTTCAACTTTGTGCATATTGTGAGGAGCAGCCAGCTGCTGCAACTCCTCCCCACCACTAGCGTTATTTCTGCACTCCATACAAAGAAAAGCTTGCATAGCAGCAGCAGTCAACTGGCATCAACCTACTGCAGTCTGATATTTTGGTTGGCCAGTCCAGTGCTAATCAAGCAATTGCCATGTTTGAAATTGCCCATGGTAGAGCTAATGAGGAAGAAAACCAGGAAATCTGCCTGACATTCAAAAATGCATCTCCTGTGTATCAGGCAATAGGAATTTTACACCAAAGGGCAAGCTATTTAGTTTAATTAGATCTCTGTCAAAGCTAATCTTCAATGTAGAATTGCAATAATTTGGTACTGGCACTAAACTTGCTTACGTTGCTGGTGGTACTAAACATGCTTGCCTTGCTCTCCACAAAAGTAATCAATTGTTTAACATCTCCTGTATTGTTACATACACTTAAAGGGACACTGTTGGCATAAAAAAAACATGTAATGAAGCAGTTTGGGTTTATTGATCATGACCCCACAGTCTCACTGCTCAATTCTCTGTCATTTAGGAATTAAATCACTTTTATTTCTGTTTTTGCAGCCCTAGCCACACCTCCTCTAGCTGTGACCCACACAGCCTGCGTGGAAAAAAAGTTTAATTTTCAATCAGATGTTAACTTGTTTTAGAAGTTTTAATCTCCTGCTCTCTAAATTGAACTTTACATATACGCGGGTAGCACATGCAGGGTCTAGAACGCTACTAATAGATAGGAGAAAATCTAGATTAAATTGACTGTCCAATAAAGGAGCCTAGAATATCTAGGTTCCTTTTCAGGAACTGTTAAGGAAGACTGTGGGAGATATAACTATTTGTGAATATGTTTATTGGATTTGCAACAAATATATTTAGCTCATGCATGGAAGGTACACTGTTGAGGTTGACAATTCATAAAATGTAATTGTCGTGCAGGACCCAATATTCAGTATTCACAGTTATAGTTGACGGGACTCGCAGGTCCCTGAAGTCTATCGGAAGAATAACTTTTACAATCAATTAGATCAACTTTTGCATTTGTCTTTACCCCGCATTACTCCAGCATTAAACACCCTCCAAATGTAACGGGAATAAAGAACTAAGTTAAAACTAAACAATAAAGGGAGGGAAATGGAGTAGGGAAGGGAAAAGACACATCGGATGTGACTAGGGCTGTATAAACAGTGATCTCACTCCTTAATGGCAGAGAATTGACTGCAGGGGCAATATCTATACACCAAAACTGCTACATTAAGCAAACCTGAAAGTGTGAACACAAAATGTTACAGAAGACCATCAATTCTCATCCTCCTAACTTCAGTTGGCACTGTGCAGTCGGGCAGGTAGAATTCTGCTGGCTCCAGAGTTGTATTTTGTAAAGCCCATTGTGAAACGGGATATACCACTACGTCACTAATAAGAATATTCGTGTCCGTATACTTTTGAGTACATGTAGCAAATTTTCAGAAATCTGTAAAATAGCCCTTGTCATCATGACCGAAAAGTATCCACTATTCAGCAGAAAATAAAGCCTAACGAAGATGCCTAAGTGTTTACGGTAGATAAATTGGAACCGGACATACAAGGAATGAGGGCACAACAAAATGAGATAAACTGAAACAAATATATTAACAGTTACAAACTGTTAAAGACAATATAAATAACAATTGTTCTAAAACTCTGCAAAATAATAGGGGAAAAATCAGGATACAAGGCAGGCGTCTGGAATCAGGACACAGGCCTCTGGCACAAAAGAGGTGGGGGACAGATAAACATTGACACAATAGACAAGCCAGTGTTCTGCCATCTGAGTAGAGAAAATTGGTCTTATAAATAAGGTAAATAATAGGGTTACTGCAACCCTTTAGTTCAAATTAAGTTTTTAGGATTAGAATACACAGTTGAACATTAGCAATCTGCTCCCCTTCCTTAACAGCCAAATAAGTGTTAAAAGGTACCTGTATTCCAGTGAAGTTCACGCCGCTGAACTTCCTCCTTCGTCTTGTCGTAAGCAGGGGCCTCTCTTGATCCAATCAAATGCTTTCTAAAAAGACATCTATGATTGCACTGTTCAGAGCACATCTACACAGTAGGAAGACAATGTAATAGAGCAGCTGGAAATGCTAGCAGAATGCTTGGTTGTATAGGGAGAGGTATTAGCAGTAGAAAGAGGGAAGTGCTCATGCCATTGTACAGAACACTGTTGAGACCTCACTTGGAGTATTGTACACAGTACTGGAGACCGTATCTTCAGAAGGATATTGATACCTTAGAGAGAGTTCAGAGAAGGGCTACTAAACTGGTTCATGGATTGTGGGATAAAACTTACCAGGAAAGGTTAAAGGATCTTAACATGTATAGCTTGGAGGAAAGACGAGACAGGGGGGATATGATAGAAACATTTAAATATATAAAGGGAATCAACACAGTAAAGGAGGAGACTATATTTAAAAGAAGAAAAACTACCACAGCAAGAGGACATAGTCTTAAATTAGAGGGACAAAGGTTTAAAAATAATATCAGGAAGTATTACTTTACTGAGAGGGTAGTGGATGCATGGAATAGCCTTCCAGCTGAAGTGGTAGAGGTTAACACAGTAAAGGAGTTTAAGCATGCGTGGGATAGGCATAAGGCTATCCTAACTATAAGATAAGGCCAGGGACTAATGAAAGTATTTAGAAAATTGGGCAGACTAGATGGGCCGAATGGTTCTTATCTGCCGTCACATTCTATGTTTCTCTGTATGTCTGGCGAGGGATGGAGGAATGTTCAGAGGAATAAAAAGGCAATATCACAATAGAGGGAGGCAGGTGGGAGCGCACCATTGGAGGGAGGGAATAATTATGTAGGGGTGCAACTAGAGCACAGCACACAAGTGCAAATTTCTCTATGTGTGCATTGTTTTAAGCAAAAACGCTGCACATACAGACTCCTACCACCATAACCACTCCTCTTTTCTCCTGCCCCCCTATTTCATGCTCACATAATGCAGGGCAAATTTGTCACTTGTGCTCATAGTAAAGGGAATATGTTTAAAGGACCACTATAGGCACCCAGACCACTTCAACTTAATGAAGTGGTCTGGATGCCAGGTCCAGCTAAGTTTAACCCTTTTTCAGAGAAACTGCTATGTTTATATTAGGGTTAATCCAGCCTGTAGTGGCTGTCTCATTGACAGCCACTAGAGGGCTTCCGCGCTTCTCACTGTGATTTTCACAGTGAGAAGACGCCAGCGTCCATAGGAAAGCATTGAGAATGCTTTCCTATGGACTGGTTGAATGCGTGCGCGGCTCCTGCCGCGCATGCGCATTCAGCCGAGGAGGAAAGTTCCCCGTCCGGCGCTGGAGAAAGAGGTAAGTTTAACTCCTTCCTCTCCATCCAGCCTGCCGGGAAAGGGCACCCTCAGGGCACTATAGTGCCAAGAAAACTAGTGTTTTCCTGGCACTATAGTGGTCCTTTAAATGTTTTGTATTCCTAGTCATTTTCTTATTGAGGTTCTGATTTATTCTTTTATCATTGTTAGAGAATATCCTAATGTTAATTTAATATTCTTTTGAATCAGTGCTATGGTTTAGTGAGGTGTCACAAGGTTTATTTGAAATCTGTTAAAAGTGTATCTATAATACTGTTTGCCAACGTTGAGCGGTGTAATCAGCAGACCTAGCATTCATAAATTATACAACGTTTGGGTTTCAGCCAGCAGACTTGGTTTGCCAAGTGATATGATGATTTCTCATATAAGCCAGTTAAGGTTTCTTCCTTTAAAGGACAATTGTTTTACTGGGCCACTGTTCAATGTGGGACATGGTAAGGCTCCATTCACAGACCCATTCTGGCCTTCATAATTCAGACAAAAGTTTTAAAAAAAACAAAGAAACCACAACAACAAAAAAAATGACCTCAATACAGAGTTCACACTAAGGTTGTTCTTTAGGTTTTCTGCCACAAAATCAAATCATACAAAAAAAGGAATTGGCGGCACATCTGGAACATGAATTTCTCAGCAATGGTGCTGCCGTAAAGACCAAAATTTATACAGGATAGAAATGAGAAAACCTAAAATCTTAACCAACAAATATGGGATTTCAGCTGCACCATATGACTTACTACAGGTGCGTAGTTTACTGCCGTCGGCATCCCACTGTGCAAAGTGCGCATGTGCATATGTGCTCTGCCCCCACCACGGTACGTGTTGCCCTAGCGATGGATGCACATGTCAGTCACTAAGGAAAAGCTGAATAAATTGTAAAAACATATTTAAAAATAAATGCAGCAGGGAGCTCAGAGAGAACAGTGATATAAGATAGTTTCATTTAACCCTCAGGGAGCAATTGTCAGTCCACATGGGCAGGTAAGTTTATAGATCACATATGGCATTCTGCATGTGATGGTATAGCGAATCTAGTAGATTTTGTTACTGTGTGAATGTGAACTTTGTTGAGATTTGTACAGAGCTCTGGTATATGAATGGTTGGTTTTGGCAGGGAGTTCAGCATGTACCAGCTGTCTACCATGGCCACGAGATGAGCTAATCTAGTATGAGGTTCCGGAATGTTTTGGGTTTTGTTGATTAATTTGGCAGTTGTGAAGTGGACTTGGAACAGTACCTGGACTTGGGATCATGTCAAGGTATCAGGTGCTCTAATGTGACAGCCTGGTATGTGTATGTGGTTACTTAGTAAGAAACTTTGTTGTTGCTAGTGGGGCGGTCCGACCTTAATTATTTTCACGAACTGCTGTGTTGTCTGAGTAGCATTGGACAAATTTCCTCGATGTAAAGATCCCCAGTGTTGCAGTGATCACAATGGGAAATAGTGCAAAGAGAGCCACAGTTTACTAAAAGAGGGTGTGCACTGTGTATCTGTGGGCCAAATGTATCAGAACTAGATGTCCTCAAAATGTCTGCAGTAGCCAGTCCAAATGACAAGAGAATTGATAGTTGGGAAAATGAAAGTGGCTTTCCTGTTTCTGTGGGATATAAAGTTTAGCCAACTGAACAGGTCTTCTTCTGTTAGTCATTGCTAGGGAAAATGCTGTTAGGGCACATAGTTTGCATGGCACTGAAACAGTGAGGAGATTTATAATAGTCTGCACAAACTGAAACTGTAACTACCAGTATTGAAATTGTTGCAGACTTACCCAAGAGCACAACAGGTCTTTTAGAAAGCGGTCGAGTCCTTCCCTACGGTGTGGGGATGTGTAAAAGATGACGACTCTACAGACCAAAGGCCAGATCAAATCTGTGTATGGGCAGGACCCTTGGAAAGCTGGATGTGTTATATGTAATTTCCCAAATGAGGGGCCGAAAATGAGTTGTGGTGGGTTGCCAAAAAAGGGTTATATGTAACTTATAAAGAGTGCCTATTGGGGGCCACATGTAGGAGTATGGCAGCAGAAGGCCGAGAGTGCCTATTGTAAGTGCTGAGCTGCCGAGTGTGAAATGGACTGTATGAGATGTGCGGATTATGGCATGAACAAATGTATGTGTTGTGAGTTGGATTGGTAATTGCGTATGGCAGTACTGATCCTCCACTGTTTCGAACTGGTCCAGAACGTTAGGGGGATTGGCATGAATAGAAGTTTGGTCATGTCAAACTTATTTGATGGCCGTTTATTAGGCCGAGACCAAGTAAAATGTATTATATGACAGACAGATTTAGTATGTGTCCGCCGACATTTATTTATGTATAAGTGCAAGATAATGCATCTTGGACGCAAAAACTCAAAGGCAAAGTATAAAATATTTGATAGTTCTAACCTCCACATTCGAGGAAAGGGATTTAGGGGTGATTATTTCTAATGACTTAAAGGTAGGCAGACAATGTAATAGAGCAGCAGGAAATGCTAGCAGAATGCTTGGTTGTATAGGGAGAGGCATTAGGAGTAGAAAGAGGGAAGTGCTCATGCCATTGTACAGAACACTGGTGAGACCTCACTTGGAGTATTGTACGCAGTACTGGAGACCGTATCTTCAGAAGGATATTGATACTTTGGAGAGAGTTCAGAGAAGTGCCTAGATGTAGGTGGCTGGACCGAGACGTGATAATACTCTTATTTGCAGGCAGAGCTCCTGCAAAGGAGAGAGAGTATCAACTTTATTTGTTTGCTCCCTCTGCTACTTCTGTCGGTTTTTTTAAAAAACCTTTTTTTTTCTATATAAATTACCTCTCCCACCCTCTTTCACCTGCCCCTCTCTCACCCTTTTCCTCTATCTCTTCTCCCCTCACCAGTTTAGATTGCACACGTGCTCTGAGACGTTAAACGGTTGTTGAGTAAAATGTTTTATTTTGCAGGTCATTCTGCAAACTGAAGTGGGGGGAGGGGGGGGGGGCACCTTTTTCATAGTAGGGTATTTTACATAGAATAGGTCCCCTCTCCAAAAGTGTTTGAGTAACACTTTGAAATTATATAAAGACTTTTACTTCTCTATTTAAAATCCCTCTTGGCCTCACAAAAACATAGCAGAACTAATACTTTATTATACAGTAGATGTATAAAAAAATATTAGTTCGGCTATGTTTTTGTGAAGTCAAGGACAACCCGAGTGAGATAAATATTGACTGGCTTTCTTGTCGATGTTCTATTTTAATATTCATTTTACTGCTCTGTGCAATAACTCTTAGACTTTATGATATATAATTACCAGCTGCAGGGCTGCTGCATAACCGGTGTGCAGTACTCTGTTTTGATCCATAGATTGAAATCTCTAATAGAATAAAGTCCTCTCCATTTTTACCTACAGATCAACTCTTGTAACTCAAACGCATCTACGTTGCTTTTGTCATTCAGGAATTACATGCTATACATTATATAGAGAATGCAGTTCCCAGGGCCAGATTAAGAGCCCAGTGGGCCTGGTGCTGACAATTATGATGGACCTAATTACAGAATCTTATCGACCAAAAACACAAACACTTCCAAGCGTCATGTATCTGAATGAGAGAGTGCTTGAGGGAAAGAAAACAGCAGCTATAAGAAAACAGCAGCTATAAGAAAACACATACTCTATGCTAATCTGTCTAATTTGTTTTCATCTTAATCCATAACCCCTAACAGCAGTATCCAGTCAAGCAGGAAGTCAATGGGTAAGGTAAAAGGGTGTGCCACTGACACAAATCGCGTAACCTGCCAAAAGGGCGAACATGCCCAAAAAGAGGGCATGGCTGCCCAATGAATTTGAAGGCCAGCCTGCCAATCATACAAGATGGCCAATTTAGGGCATACTATGCAGACAGCACCCTGAGCTTGGCATAAATGTGTCTGATGCGCTCGCTCAACGCTTTCTAAGGACTGTCCCCCTAGCACTCACATATCCACTTGTCTCCTTACCTTCTTACTAGCAGGCAGAAGCTCCTGGTATACAGTATGGGACTGAGAAAAGCTGTATATAGTGAGTGTAGAAGAAAGTGAACATGCCACATTGTTAGAGAGACCAAAGTCAACATAACCTAAACTAATTTTATTGTCAGCCAGTCCACACAAGTTCTGTTCCCATACATCCCTCTTAAGTTTTCATACTTAAACAAGAGTATGTGAAAAGTAGTTAGGGTTGCCACCTTTCTTGGAAAAACATACTGGCCTTACTAATTTGCATAATTAATTATGTATGGGTGACATCACATGATGTAAATCACAAGGAGTGACATAAGAGAAAATGCTGTAAAATCACTACAAAAACTACTTGGTTTGATTCTGCTGTATAGATGGATTGCTCCCAGTGTCTCAAGTCTCCCAGTGTCCCCATGTCTCCCAGGTTCCCCATGTCACTAGGAACATGGAAAGACCTGGTGACACTGGTAGACTAGGGGACACTGGCTGGGACACATAGGGACACTGGGAAAATAGGGGACACTTGAAGACATAGGGACACAGACACCAGAGACACTGGCTGGGGGACATGGAGACTTTGAGACATGGGGTCACTGAGACACCAGGGTCACAGACAATAGGGACACTGGCGGGACACATGGGGACATTGAGACACTTGGGGCACTAGGAGACATGGGGGCACTAGAATACAAGGAGACACAGACACTGGGAGACTAGGTAAAACTGTGTGACATGGGGACACTGTGTCCCCATGTGTCTGTGTCCCCACGTGTCTGTCATAATGTCTCCCAGTGTCCCTTAATGTCTCAGTACCCATGTCTCCTTGCAGTCTTTCCCCCCCATTCCTCACTTCCCTGAGCTGTAGGCTGTCTCTGCAGGATGGAAGTTGCTGTCTGGACTCTCTGTAGCTGCTCCCCTGCGGATCAGTGAGTAGAGATAGGCAGGGAGGGATATGCTGGAACTTCCTATCCCTGCCTCTCTCCACACACAGTGACCCCTACTGGGGGTGGGGTGTGTGTGTGTTTTTTTAAAACTGCTGCTGCAGCTCCATCAGCTCCTATGTTAATCCGGCCCTGGCAGTTCCCTCTAAGGAGTATATATCTGGTTGAAACTGAGGATCTCTGAAAAAAAAATTTTTGTATTCATTTTTTTGTTTTTTTGTTTAGGGTAAATATCCCAAAACCTCTTATTTTCTGTAGAGGTGATTGAAAAGATTTGATCTTTGACTAAAAACCTGCCTGCTTGTTAGTTGATTGTGTGTGATGTGTGTTTATATGTAATGGTGCTTGTGCCGATTGTGCTTTTAATGACTTTCTAATCCCCAGGTTGTGCAGATTCCATTCTGTGGGGAAATTGACTGTGAAGATTGGATAAAGAAGACGACTGCAAGGTAATTTTATCTGACTGGTCTTTGCTTTTCTCCATGTCATATATCACCAAATTGATGATGGTTTTGTTTTTACATACATAAAAATAATCAGTTCCTTAGCAGGTCTTATAGTTAGGTAAATACAACCTCAGCTGAACAACAACACATGATATATTACACTGTGTGTCATTATTTATTTAACAAAAAAAGCCAAAATGGAGAAGCAATGTGTGGAACTGAATACACCATTACTGCTTCCATAGCATTTAATAGGCTAAGTAGCACTTGATTAATTGATCATCAGCAAGTGTGACCACCTCTATAAAAGCCGAGGTTTTAGCAGTTTTGCTGGTCTGGTGCATTCAGGTGTGTGTTAACACAATGTCAAGGAGGAAAGACATCAGAAATGATCTTATAGAAGCAATTGTTATAAGGTCATTTCCAAACCATTTCAAATCCATCATTCTGCAGTGAGAAAGATTATTCAAAAGTGGAAAACATTCTAGACAGTTGTCAATTTTCCCAGGAGTGGACTTCACAGCAAATTCAGTCCAGTGCCAGACTGTGCACCACTCAGTAAAATTGCAAAAAAAGTTACATTTCTCACTAAAAAGAACATGGACGCGCGTTTAGGTTTGCAAAGTGACATCTAAACAAACCACAAGACTTCTGAAACAATGTCTTTTGGATAGATGAGACCAAAGTGGAGATGTTTAGTTTTCGCTAAACGTGGCACAGCATTATGCCCAAACACAGCATATCAGCAGAAACACCTCCTACCAACTGTCAAACATGGCAGTGGAAGGTTGATGATTTGGACTTGTTTTGCAGTCACAGGACCTAGGGATGTTGGAGTAATTGATCGCTCTAAAAGAGCAGTCACATGGCCACATTAGGTGTCCATAGTGCTGACAGCAGGGGGACTGCCTGAACTGACAAAAAAGTGAAAAAAGTTTTAAAATATATTAAAGTTGATAAAAAAAAAAATGTGTATATGTGTGTGTGTGTGTGTGTGTGTGTATATATATATATGTGTGTGTGTGTGTGTATATATATATATATATATATATATAATACAACGTTTAACAAAAATCTGCACGCCAGTCAAGCCATAAGACTTGCTTTTCCCACAAAAATCCCATAACTGCAGCGATGTTAAAACTGCAAAGGATTCTGGGTGGGCATATGCAAATTAGTTTAACAAAGAATCAAATTTTTGCCTCATTCCATTTTAAACATGGATTCCTTTTAATCTGTGTTTGCTGTATACAACAGCTTGAAACACAATATAGGAAAAGATGCAAAATATATATATAGACATAGCAGAAATGACCGCACTTTAAGGAATTTATAGAGATTTTCAAATAAAATTTAACTTTTATTCAATCCTTTTAAAAAGTCAACGTTTCAGCTCCCACATGGAGCTTTCATCAGGACAAAACAACAATTGTTATTCTTTATTTCCTATTTTTTTTAGGATTTGTTTATTTCTTTTCCTTCCTTCCTTGCTTTAATGTTACACACTCTTTTCCACTTGGCCGCACTGCCTTAGGTTTTGGCGGGACTGAGTCACATGGCACACTTATTCTCTCAACACCAGAGCCGAACACAGCTACTACTCCCATAACACCTGCAGCACCCGCTGCGACATAGCAACGTACACAAGATACACAAAGAGACCAGGCCACTGAGACACCAATTATATATAATTAATGTATATTTCTGCCTCTCCTGCTGCAGGCTTTTCTCATTTAAGGCAGTTTTTTGCAATGGTTGCATTAAAATAAGTTACAATTTTAAATTTCACTTTCACAAATTTGACTATTATTTCCAGAATTATTTGTTAGCAAATATAGTTTGATTACACTTTAAAATAGCCACATGTTTTCTCTCTTTTTATTTTATTTATATAATATATGTAAGGTTTGGTTTGGTTTAAGTTTAAGCACTGTCCCTAGGCTGTTTCGAGAAAGCAGCTCCATCCTGTGTCCATTTACAGTAATGCAGGATAGCAGTACTCCCAGCTTGTTCAATGAGAAATGTACATTGGCCCAAGACTTACGTATTGAAAAAGGTACCCTGTAGCTTCCCATCCTTTTACATTACAAATGCCTGGTGAGTCGTATTTTTCTCTTACAGTTCTCGCAGTGCATGAGACTACAGTTAGGGACATGGACACTATAATGTTTGGAATACAGGTTTGTATTCCTAATGCTATAGTGTTCCTTTAACCCCTTAAGGACCGATGACAGCTCAGGACTGTCATCAGAAACATCCCCTTGAGGACTGATGACGGTCCTGAACCGTCATAATTACTTACCCGATCACCACCGTTGCTCCGGTTCTGAGGGGATTGTCTGACAGCCCAGACAGTTCCCCTTCAGCAAATATGGCCGCAATAGGTGTCCAAGTATCTGCCTGCAGGGACACTGCCTGAACTGACAGTCTCCCTGCTTCTGGAAAATAAAAAATGTTGGTAAATAAAAAAAATTATATGTATATATAAAATATATAATATGTGTATATATATCGTGTGTATATATTATGTCATGCTAAGTGTATTTTTATATTAAATACATATATTAATATAAAAATATACTTGTAATAAAATTACACACGTGTGTGTGTGTGTGTGTATATATATTATAGAATATACGTAAGTAAATACAAATAAATAAAAAAATTATATATGTCATTTTATTTTATTTTGCTATTAATACATTTATATCAAAATACACTTAGAATAAAATTATATATGTATATCTACTTCTATATAAATAAATAAAAATACAATATATATTCATATACATAATTACATAAATAATTTCATAAATATACACGTAGACTTCAAATATATAAATATGTATATTTAAATTCTACGTGCATATTTATGTAATATTTTTACATAATTAAGTAATTTTATTTATTGCAATTTGAGGGACATGCCTGACAACCCAGGCTGAAATCCAGAGAATTTAATTTGCAAGCACTATATTTAACCCTGTAACTTTCCAAGACACCCTAAAACATGTATATGACGGGTACTGTTTTACTCGGAAGACTTCGCTGAACACAAATATTAGTGTTTCAAAACAGCAAAACATATCGCAGCGATGATATAGTCGGTGAAAGTGACGTTTTTTTGCATTTTTCACACACAAACAACACTTTCACTGATTATATAATTGTTGTGATATGTTTTCCTGTTTTGAAACACTAATATTTGTGTTCAGCCAGTCTCACGAGTAAAACAGTACCCCTCATGTACAGGTTTTATAGTGGTTTTGAAAGTTACAGGGTCAAATAAGCCTTGAATTTCCATTTTTTCAATTTGCCAGATTATGTTTCATTTGAGAGCGTATAATAGCCCAGGAATGAGAATTACCCCCATGATGACGCACACCATTTGCAAAAGAAAACAACCCAAGGTATTGCAAATAGGGTATGTTCAGTCTTTTTAGTAGCCACTTAGTCACAAACACTGGCTAAAATTAGCGTTCATAATTGTTTTTTGCATTTCTAACACACAATCAAATATAAATGCTAACTTTGGCCAGTGTTTGTGACTAAGTGGCTACTTAAAAATACTGGACATACCCCATATTTAATACCCTGGGTTGTCTACTTTGAAAAAACATGTGCATGTGAGGTGTGATTCAGAGATTTATGACAGATAAGTGTTACAATGTCACTATTGATCAATTTTAAAAATATATATTTTGAAAAAGCAATGTCCTACTTGTAATTATAGCCCTATAACTTGCACACAAAAAAGCATGTAAACACTGGGTGTTTCTAAACTCAGGACAAAATTTTGAATCTTTTTAGCAGTTTTTTTCATTAGATTTTTTAGATGAGTAAAAGATTTTTCAAGTAAAAGTTAAGAAACATGTTTTTTTAAATTCACCATATTTTATTATTTTTAAAGTAAATTATATGACATGATACAAATAATGGTATGTAAAGAAAGCCCTTCTAATCCTGAAAAAAAGCAATATATAATTTGTATGGGAACAGTAAATGAGAGAGAGGGAGGAAAATTACAGCTAAACACAAACTCCACAAAAGTGTTAAACCAGTCTGGTCCTTAAGGGGTTTAACTTGCGTTGTTTTGGTGCCTGTTTTCTATATATAAAAAGAAAATTTTGTTGTTCAGTAGATATAATCCAAATGAAATAAAAGTACATAAAAGTGTTTTATTGGGATATATCTAAAATAGCTTGCAAAATCTGCAGTTCTTTTGTTTGCAGCCTCTACAAGCCCTCATTTAGGAGACTGGAGTGTCCCTTTAACAGCTAGTTTTGTTGAATTAAAAACTGTTGACTAGAGTGCCCTTAGAAAGCAAACAAAATAAATATTGTAACAAGTTCTTATTAATGTTCTATCAGTTCAAATTTTCTCCCCTGAAAACATGTAAAATAATCTTGCACAAGTCAGTTTGAAAAATTAAATTATTATTTATTTATTTATTTTTACCCAGGGAGCAAGATCTTGAACCTGGAGCACCTTCCATGGGAGCAAAAGGCCTGTGTATCCCCTTCAAACCCCTCAAGGAGCTGCAAGCTGGCACCAAGTGTGTCTGTAGCAAGAATCCCGCCAAGTACTATACGCTGTTTGGACGCAGTTACTAATGGAAGAAAAGATCTCCTGAGCTCTTTATTTTTAATAGGAATTTAACAAAAGAAAATAAAAAAAGATTTTAGGACCCATGCTATGTGTAGTTAAATGTTTTACATCACTGCACTTATTTTTTTTGTGAAAACATCCCAAATAAACGTTAATAAGAGAAAACAATATCTCGGTGTATTTTGTAGCTGGATCTGGGAGCTACATTAACTTTGGGTCAAACACTGGACTCCACTAATGGGCACCTGCACCCATTATTACATACGGCAACGGCGGAGGGGTGGGGGGAGCATTGACATTATTAATGGGAACATATCCTTCACAAATCATGTGGATGTCAAGGTTATCATCGCAATCTAATATAGTTGCATAGATTAAAATGTATACTTAATGTGAATATTTAGTTTGGTTGCTTTTGTTTTTTTTCCCCTCACCAAGCGTGGTATATTGAAGCTGACTGGGTGGCTCCTTGCAAAAGCTTCTCTACTCATGAGCCTCCTCTCTGTCCTATAGATGTGGGATGTTCACATAGGCAGGTGGTGTGGATGTTTGTGCAGCCACTGTTATTCTCCATAATTGTAATTATGAGCGTAAAACATTCCAGGATGGATAAAGAATTTTGAGGGGAAAAAAACTTTATACATACAGACATTCAAAATTTGACAATGTGACAATTTTATGTTGTTTCGCATGGCAGGTACACTTCCAAGCATGCTAGCACCACTCGTCACAGAAATATGGGTTTGTTTGTTTATGTATGTTTTTTTACATCTTTGTTTTTTGCTCTGTTTTGACGGTTCATTCTCTTCTCCAGCGGGAGCAGGGTTTTTCTTCATATCCAAAAAAGTTGATCTACGCCCATGTATTGACTACAGTGCGTTGAACAAGAGCACCATAAGAAATGCATACCCTATACCACTCATATCTGAATTATTCGAAATTAAAACTGGCTTGGAAGTGCATACAAGCTAATAGGGTTAAAAGAGGGTCATGAATGGAAAACCGTGCTCATTACTAGAAGCGGTCACTATGAATACTTGGTTATGTCGTTTAAGTAATTTAATACCGCCGCTGTTTTCCAGGACCTCATAAATGATGTCCTAAGAGAACTATTCCTTTGTATTGGTATATCTTGATGCAGGGCCGGACTGGGAAAAATTTTGGCACAGGCATTTTTTAATCACAGAGGTCCACTGAAAAGGAGGTGGGGCCAAATAGGGTGCATTTTCTCATCCCCAGTGACAAGCACACCCCATTTCAAAGTGAATATGTTGTTTCAATGCTCTTCCAGGGCAGACCATGCGCAGAGCCACGCTGAAGAGCTCTAGCATGAGAAAAAGGCCCTGTATTTGTTCTGCACAAGCAAATTTAATAACATGCTTGTGTTGTGTTTGCTTGAAACTTGTCTCTGGTGGGATACCAGGAGACAAAAAGAGGAAAGAGTACTGTGCATGTGTTTGGAGCCTGCTTATGGGAATGCGTGTGTGTAGAGTGAGCGGATTGTTGTGTGGTTTTGTGTAATGTGATGAAGAGTGTGTGCATATGGGATGTAGTGTGTGCAGGGGTTGTAGAGAGTGTGTTTGTGTTTGCTTAAAGGGAATCTAGTATGTATGTCAGGAATGTAGTGTGTGTGTATAGGGGATCTAGTGTGTGTTTGAAGGATTCAGACTGTGTATAAGAGAGCAAGTGTGTATATGTGTAGATGATCCAGAGTTGGGTAAGGGATCTAGTGTGTGTAAAAGGTTCTGTAGTCTATATACATATATGTTTGGAAGTATAGTGTGTTTGGGGGCTGCTATGTGTATGTGTGAGGGTGTTGTGTATGTTAGGGTGATGTATGTGTTAGGGTGCTCTATAAGGGTGTGTGTTTGAAGGTATTGGGGGGAGGCAGGTTATTGCCAATATGTATGTATTTATTTTTTTAAATAATAAAATAAAACCGGCATTGTATCCCCCCTCCCTTCTTACCTTTAGCCTGGGAGGGGGGGCTGTGCAAGTTAAACAGGTTCTGCAGACTTTGCTTAAAAATGGTCTGTATTGTAAACTTGAGAAATATAATATATTCAATCAGACGGAAGTGCAGTTTCTGGGGTATATCATATCTGCTTCTGGTTTAAAGATGGATCTCATGGATTGAAAGCCATCCAGAGGTTAATCGGGTTTGCGAATTACCATAGATTAATCAAGGGATTTTCTATGGTAATAGCCTCGATAACCAATATGACCTGTAAAGACGTGAAGTCAGGTTTGGCCTAAAGAAGTCATAGATGCCTTTGAGTGTCTCAATGCCTTGTCTGCCTCAGCCACTATTCTATTGCATCTTGACTCTAATAAACCATTCATATTAGAAGTAGATGCCTCTGAGACTGGGGTTGGTGCTGTCCTTTCACAGAGAGAGTCACGAAAAACTACTACATCCATGTGGATTCTTCTCCAAAAAACTGCTACAAGCGGGGTAGAATTACGAATAGGATACAGAGAATTACTGGCCATCATTTTATCTCCTAAGGAATGGTGACATCTACTAGAAGGTTCTAAAGATCCCCTGATCATTATCACAGATCACTAAAACCTTGCTTATATAGGGGAAGCTAAGAGAATGTCTTCCAGGCAGACTGTTTTTATCACGTTTTTATTCCATAATAACATACAGACCAGGTACACGGAACATTAAGGCCGATGTATTATCTATACAATATAATACAGATGAAGAACAAGAGCAGAAGATTTCTCCTATTATTGATCCTCCTTTTCTCCTCTCCTCCTCTTGGTGTCATAATAGCAGATCAGGCAATAAACATCTGGAAACAGTGTTCATTCCAGTATCCGAAAGAAAGACGATATTAAGTATGTTCCATGACCATACGAGTGCTGGGCACCCGGGTATACGCAAAACCTTTTTTGCGGTTACTAGAAAGTTCTGGTGGCCCTCTCTTAGGAACTCTGTAGTGACATATGTCAATGCTGTTTCTAAGGTTCCTCACCAACTCAAATGTGGGTTGTTAAAACATCTTCCTGTGCCACATATACCTTGATCCCATCTTGCTATGGATTTAATCGTCAATCTACCTGTGTCCAAGGGATTTAACACTATTCTAATGGTTGTTGACTGATTCTCTATAATGGCTCATTTCATTTTGCTCAAGAAGTTGCCATCATTCTATGATCTTGCTTGCATAGTCTCCCAAAAAATATAGAGGTTGCATGGTATTCATCACAATATAGTATCTGACAGAGGTACGCAGTTTGTGTCTAGGTGTCATGTATTCATCCTCACCTTATGGCATTTGCAGTGGAAATAGCCTTCCTAGCAATAATGGAGGTGCCGCTCAGCAGTCCTGCGCCAGTGTACCTGACTTCTGCAACATGTCGGTGGACGCCGACCGCTGCTGATCCACGCCATATTGTAGCCCCATGTCCACCCACGCTAATGAGGGCGTCGACGTGCACGTGTTGTCATGCAAAAGACCGGTTACGGCCAATCAGATCAATAGGTGGGTTATTTAAACACATTTTTCTTTTACTCATTGCCCTGTCGTGGTTTACCTTTGCTGGTTATCCGAGAGTGTGTTCCTGAACTTATTCTTCTGGTTTTACACTTCCCTGATTTCTGGTATCCTTGACTTTTGGCTTTCCCTTATCGTTGTGTCTCATTTTGTATCCCTGACCTTGGCAAGTATTCAGACTGTTCTTGGATACGTTAAGTCCGGCCATTCTAATGTGCGGTTAAATGTTATCCTTAGTCCTAGGTGTGATATAGTTCTGCGTGCTGGATCAACTAGTAATCCTGACACTAAGTTCTGGAGATCTTTTCGTAAAGAGTTGGGTATAGAATTTTTTTTCTTCCTCATACCATCCCCAAACTAATGGTCTGTGAAACAGGCTAACCAATCCTTAAAGGTGTACATCTGATGTTTTGTCAATAGTGCTCAAAATAATTGGTCTGATATTTTACCCTGAATTTTCCAGGAACAATGCTACGCATGACTCCTGGTTTTAGTCCATTCTATGTTAATAATGGTCTTCATCCTACTATTGTGTCATCTCTGTTCTCGGGTACCTTTATCCTCATCTTGGATGAGCACCTGGCCTATACGAAGGTCCTGGGATGTGGTGCATGCCATCTTAAAGAATGCTGCTTCACTGTACAAACTGCAGGTTGATAAATGGCGTAGCGCTACGCCTTATTAAGTGGGTGACAGGGTTTGGTTGTCCACACGGTACATTAAACTCAAGGTGCCTTCTATGAAACTCGCCCTTTCTGTATTGTACCCTTGATTTCCCTGCTAATCTCTGCATTCCTTGTACCTTTCATGTGTCTTTGCTCAAACCTCTGCACTGTTATAGATATTCTGCTCCTTCTATTCCTCCTCTTCTGTTGGTGGTTGCTGGACAGGAGGATTATGAAATCCATTCTACCCTGGATTCTAGGTATTCTTGCAGTATCATGTTAATTGGAAGGGTTATAGTCCTGAGGAACGTTCCTGGGTTCCCACTGTTGATGTTCATGCTGGTCACCTCATCCGCTTCCATACATTTATCATATTTCATCTATTCTTTGTGTTTGACTTAATTTTGTGTGTTGGGCCACAGTCCCATCCTGACAATCAGGAAGAATGGTGGCATTAAAGGGATAGAGATTGGGAACGGAGCATAAGGTGACCACTGAATGTTACTGTCCCAAACTTAGAGGTAGCTCAAATGAGATGACAATTACCATTTCGGTGGTGAACAATACTTTGGGATCTGGATTAACAATGACTCGACTCAACTGTATCAGAAATTTCCTTCCTCTCCTTCGGACTAAATAAGCAGACTTGGTAAGGGGACAAGTTGTATGTATCGTGGTTTGGTCATCTGAGTGTGGTCAAGATGAATATACTTCCAAGACTCCTTTATCTCATGCAGACCATCCCAATCAGGCTCCAGAAAGCATACTTCAACTCACTAGATCTAGCAGTTAGGGAGTTTGTATATGAAACTGTATCTCCTTTGTTTGCTGAGGTAAGCTGTTTGCTTCCCCTTGTTCTAATATTACTCCTAAGTTACACATTTATTACAGGTGATAGACTGGCAGGGCAGCAACTGGTCTATGCATTGGACAGAGCTGGGGAGGGCATACCACTGCAGTGTGGTTGGGAGAAGCTATTGTGTCTAAGCTATTCATGGACAGTAGGTGAGAATTCCATCTCTCATCATACCAAGGTTCTATGTTTCCCTTGTCATACAAACCAAACTTCCCTTCAGGGTACTGGACATCTTAAGCCAAGATCCAGTAGTACAGTTCGCCACTATCAGCTCCCCTGCAAGGATGAACGACTTAAGATCAATAGCGGGGGTCTGGGCACCAATGGTGCATGAGCTATTA